ATACATATTTTTTGTTGTTGTTGATTTGTTGTATCAGTTACTGAGAGGAGGATGTTAAAATTGCCATTGATGATTGAATTGTGTCTTTCTCCCCTTATTTCTGTCTTATGCATTGTGTATTGTGAAGGTGTGTTGCTAGGTTCTTATACATTTAGATGTGAATCCTTTTATCATTATAAAATGCTCTTCCTTATCTGTAATAATACTTTTTCTTGAAGTCTGTTTTGCCTTCCTTTAATGTAGCCACACCTGTTTCTTACATGTTGTGATTGCGTGATTTATGTTTTTCTGTCCCTTTTTTCTTCAGATTTATTTTTACTGTTTATTTGAAAGGCAGAGTTAGAGGGAGAAAAAAGGGAGAGACAGAGACAGAGAGAGAGGTCTTCCATCCACTGGTCACTCTCCAAATGGCCACATCAGCCAGTGCTGTGCCAGGCTGAAGCCAGGAACCCAGAGCCTCTTCCGGGTCTCCCACGCGGGTGTAGGGGCTGGAAGAGGCTCCGGGTTCAAGTGCTTGGGCTGTCCTCTGTTGCTTTCCCAGGTGCATTAGCAGGTTACTGGGTAGGAAGAGGAGCGGCTGGTCTAGAGCCGGCACCCACACGGGATGCCAGCACTGCAGGCAGTAGTTTAACCTGCTGCCTGTCATTTTAATTTTAACCAATGTGTGTTTTTATAGTTGAGTCTTACTTTTTATGTGTTCTGACAATTTCTGCTTTCTAATTGGAATGTTTAGGTTCTTTTTATTATGTGGTTATAACTGTTAGCTGTTTTAAGCTCACTATCTTACTATTTGTTTTTTAGCATCTCTTTGTTTCTCTGTTCCTCCTTCCCTGCCTTCTAGTACTTTGCATTACTACTTTTTCTACTCTGTGGATTTTTTTTTTTTTTTTTTTTTTTTGCTGTATCACTTTGTATTGTTTTTTATGGTCATTCTAGAGATTTTAATATGTGCTTTGTAGCAGAGTTATTTTCAAGTTTACTTTTATTAAATTCTACTTTACAACAGTGGAAGAACCTTACTCTGGTGTATTTCTCTGTGGCCTCCCCTGCCTTTTATAATCTTGTCTAAAATATATTTTATTTAATTTCACTTAATCTTTGTTTAATTTCTACTTTTTTTTTTTTTTTTTTTGACAGGCAGAGTGGACAGTGAGAGAGAGAGACAGAGAGAAAGGTCTTCCTTTGCCGTTGGTTCACCCTCCAATGGCCGCTCCTTTTGCCGTTGGTTCACTCTCCAATGGCCGCTGCAGCTGGCGCACCACGCTGATCCGAAGGCAGGAGCCAGGTACTTATCCTGGTCTCCCATGGGGTGCAGGGCCCAAGCACTTGGGCCATCCTCCACTGCTCTCTGGGGCCACAGCAGAGAGCTGGCCTGGAAGAGGGGCAACCGGGACAGAATCTGGCGCCCCGACCGGGACTAGAACCCGGTGTGCCGGTGCCGCAAGGCGGAGGATTAGCCTAGTGAGCCACGGCACCGGCCATTTTCTTATGTTTATTGGATTATGGTGTCAATCCTTAACACTGAAATTATGGAAAGATCAAAATCCAAATAGATGAAAATCACCGAAAGTATATTCTGGAAAAAATAAGTCTTTAAAAAACACTTATTTGGAGCTGATGTTGTGACACAGTAGGTTAAGCTGCCATTTGTGACTGGCATTTCATGCTGGGCACTGGTTCACTTTCTGGCTGCTCCACTTCAGTGGAAGATGGACCAAGTACTGGAACTCCTGAAACTTTATGGGAGACCCAGGTGAAGCTCCTGGCTTCAGCCTGGCCCAGCCCTGGCTGTAGTGGCCAATTGAAGAGTGAACCAACAGATGGGAGATTCTTCTGTCTGTCTCTCTGTAACTCTGCTTTTCAAATAAGTGAATCTTTTAAAAAAAATTTACATTTTTAAAGGGTATTTGTAGAACATATAAAATATAATGGAATGTTGCATAGGACACCTGACACATCAAATGGGCACTAATAAGGGGCTGGCATTTAACCTAGTGCTCAAGATGCCACTTGGGACCCCCACAGACCATACTTGAGTGCCTCAGTTTGAATCACAGTTCTTGTACTATTTCTAGCTTCCTGCTGATGTGCACCCTGGAAGACAGCTATGATGACTCAAGTGGTTGTGTTCTGCCACCCACATGGGTGAACCAGATTAAGTTCCGATCTCCCTGCTCCGATCTGGCCCAGCCTTGTCAATGGCAGGCATTTGGGAAGTGAACAAGCAGATGGGAAATCTCTTGTCTATCCATTTGTGTCTCCTTCTCTCTTTCCATCTGTGTGTCTTTCTGTCTTTCAAATAATAAAAATTTCTAAAATAAGGTAGTTAAGATCAAGCAAATTTTCCATGAACTTCTTTAAAAAGATTTTATTTATTTATTTGAAAGGCAGAGTTAGAGTGGGAGGGAGAGACAGGGATCTTCATCCATCTGCTGGTTCACTCCCCAAATGGGCCCCAACAACGGGGGCTGGGCCAGGCCAAAGCCAGGAGCCTAGAATCTGTCTTCTGCTGCGTTCCCAGATGCATTAGCTGGGAGCCGGATCAGAAGTGGAGCAGTTGGGACTCAAATAGATGCTCATATGGGATGCCAGCGGCACAGATGGTAGCTTAACCCCCTGTGCAGCAACGCCAGCCCCTCAATGAACTTTTTGAAGCCCCTTCATATGTATTTTTATAAGTATGAGCCCTAAGAGCTGTTATAATGGTTATGAGCAGGTGAACTGTATTCATAAAGAAATAGACCAAGAAGCAAAATTTAAAACACATTTCCGTGTGGTCGATAATTATGTGTACACAGCTTTATAACAGAGGTCATCTGATTTATTTTACTGAACAGCCTAAGTCTTTTGAATACATTGGCCAAAAACTGCAGTGGGTCGCTGCCATGTATGCAGTTCTCCAAGAGCCGGGTCTTGAGAAGTTTTGTCTTTGATAGATACAGATGTGTAAACAGGGCATCTCTTCATTTGTTGAGGAGATTTCAACATCTTTATGCATATACACAGAGTCAGTGTTGTGATAATGTAGAGCCAGTTCTGCATAAAATATGTGGAATACATTAAGACTGTAAATCCTTGCACAGTTTATACCTGCAGAATTGGAAATGACGTGAAGATGAAATATACAGCATAAAAAGTTGTAAAAAATAATGCTGACAAAAAAAATTATGGAAACGAAAGTATAAAGAAAATTCAACATATAAAAATGTGTACTGTGGGGGTAGATGATGGGCAATTGAATTACAGTCTGTAAGAGTCGGCTGGCTTTCACCAACATTACCTACATTTTGAATCTTGCATAGCTACTGTTTTTTCTTTTAGGGCATATCTCTCTCTGGAAAGTATGTTCACCTTCATTATCTATGTGACATATTGTCACCCCTAGTTCACAATAATCCCAAATCTCTGGAAACACCCTCGTAGATGTAATCCAGTACAGTGCTCCACCAGGTTTCTATGTATTCATTTTGCCTAACAAACAGCAACCAGACTATCCCTTCCACAAGATTTGGTTTTTTACACTTTCTAAATAGCCTGGTTATTTGTGTTTCCCAGTGGAAATTGCAGTTTTGTGGATTTCATCTTTCAGGATTTCAGCATTTTCAAGTTTTAATCTATCTTCAGGGATTGCAGTCTTCAGGATTCTATCAAATCTGTTTTTGAGCTGGATTAGGGCTCTGTTGCAGTTGTGGTTAAATTTTGGGTCACAATTGCCTATCCTCTATTGACGTAGTGATCAAGACACTCTTCCACAAGAGTGGGATTGGAGCTATCGCAGGATTCTGGAGATAACCTGTATGCTTTGTAGCTGAGCCACCAGCTTTTTGAACCATAGCGATGTCTCCTATGCCTTTCAGGAGCTTACTTTGCTCTCCAGTTCCATCTCTGGCTTTCAGTTTCTGTTCATCTTGCAGCTCCTGCCCTGTTCCATCACAGGCTGCTCCTCATGCAGCTCAGCTGTTGGTCTCCTCTTTGCTTTGTGCAGTTAAGTTGATGCAGCTTTATTTGCATCCTCAGCGTTCTGATGATTCAAGGAAGTCATGAGGCCTGTTCAGCTTATCCATTGGCTTTAGTTGTCAGAGTGAGAGCTGAGGATCTGTTTTCACATCCCAACCTGCAGGGGAAGACTGCACTTTTTTTTTGTCCTATTACTGATAAGGATATTTATTTTTAACTTAGTTATTTAAGTAATTGCTCCAAAATATTGGTGATTTGCTTGCTTTCTCTTTTTTTTTAAAACTAGTAAAGCAGATAAAGAATGGGATGTTTTTGATTAAATATTTTGAGAGTGAGTAGTGGAGAGATCGTCACTGTGATCAAGTAAGATTCATCCCAGGGATGCAAGGATGATTCCACATATGCAAATCAGTGAATTTGACTGTTATTACTGCAGTAAATCCACAAAGGAATGCACTTTGGAACTGACATTAAAGTGATTTTAATTATGTGGTCATAACCTTATAAAGTACAGTGTGAAACTTGAGCCAAAATGTCTTACTCATATGACTATGAAAATAGGTTTTCATGACACAAAAATAGAATATTGCATTAATGTAAGAATAGTTTCAAAGCACTTTATTTGGGAAGGAATAGAGTTCAGTTAAAAGGTTATTTGTGTACTTTACTTCTATGATATATAACCTCATCAACCTCTTAAAAATTCAGTTTTTAGTATGCCATATCAAAGAACCTATCTAAGCAACCCCTTCTTACCATTTTTCTTATGTTAAATGTAGTATTTTGACAAATGTCATGCAAAATTGCACTGTAGGTAAATAGAGAGTAGATAAGCTTCTGATATTTCTTTTTCTGAAATACATTTTCAGATTCCAGAGTGTTTCTGAAAAGCTGCACATGGAATGCAAAGCAGAAATGGTGACTCCCCTGGTGACAAACCCTGGACATGTGTGCGTCACAGACACAACCCTGTATTTTCAGCCTCTCAATGGGTACCCGGTATGTAGACTGTGATGCGACATCAGGGCCGGAGCCACCACCATGAAAGCTGCTTCCCTAGGAGCTGGCCTTCACAGTTAGTGTCCTTACATTTTGGCGAAGATCAGAATCCCTTGTCATCATTCCACCGCCTGTGTATTTTACGGGGCCTCTGTGTAGTCCTGAAACACAGTCGCCCCAGTTCTAGATCCTCTGGAGTGTTCTGAGTAATTCTAGGAGCCCTTCCTCTCAGTGGTCTGAAAACACGGCCCCTCCCATGTTGAGCAAAAGGCGGATGGAGATACTTCCAAAAGAGGCTGATGAAATGTAGTACAGAGAATCCAAAACATATTTCTTTAGTGCTTGCTTATGTATACACAAATGTTGGTGATTCTTGTTTCGCCTAAATTATAAACGAAATCAGTAGACCTGCCTCTTTAGGAAACGTTGTGGCCTGTCCTGTGGGCCTGCACCGGGCTTAGTGTAGAGGCACTGCACTCTGGCAGCCATAGAGCTTCTGCTGTTTTTGGAGACTGTGCTCCCTTCCACAGTGACCTTGGACTCACTAGGCTGGAGTGTAAGAGAAACTCAGATTTCTATGCAAATGCTTGTAAAGATTGGAGGCTTATCTAGATTTGGCCCCTTTCTGGAGTGGTTCATTGAAAGAACAGAAATCCTAACCCATGCTGATAGTGCAGTTGGGCCATTTGGCAGGGCAGCTTGAAGGCTCAGGATTGGTTTTTTGTCAAAGAAAGCTGCACACAAGAAATTCTCCAGGCTGGCTCTAAACTATCTAGTGCCTTTGCGTGAAAGATGCTGCTCTAATAATCCTGTCCACTAGGTGGTGGGGCACACACACCAAGTTCTTCAGTAGACATGCTACGCTTTGCTGGTTTGGCATATTTGATCATGTAATACATTGCCTTGACTACTACTGTTACTATTGCCTGGGTCAAAAACTGTGAGAGAAATGTCTGAGTATTTGCCGCAGCTTCCTGATCCACAGCAGAAGCAGTTACCCCTTCCCAAATCTCTGGGGTAGTATACTTGTCAGGCTTGGATCCCTTGAGTGTTTTCTACTCTCCATAATCTGGCCCCTGCAGACCCTTTGTCCTTCACACCTCTGAGGGCAAATGTGGAAGCAGGGCCTCTCAGCCAATCCCAGTGCCTTTTTCTAACTGCTTTCCTTTTATTTATTTATTTATTTGAAAGTCAGAGTTAGAGAAAGAGAGCAGATCTTCCATCCACTAGTTCACTCTCAAATGGCTGCAACTGCCAGAGCTGGGCCAGTCCAAACCCAGGAGCCTGGAGCTTCAGGGGTCCAAGTACTTAGGCCGTTATCTGCTGCTTTTCCAAACACGTTAGCAGTGAGCCTGATTGGAAGTAGAAGATCCAAGACTCGAGTTGGCACCTATATGGGATGCTGTCACCATAGGTGGTGGCTTTACCCACCACACCACAGTGCCAGCCCCACCTTGTTCCTTTTAAAGCTCCAGAGAAGTAAGAAAAAGTAAGAAAGTAAAAAGAGATGCCTGCATTGTAGACTACTAATTTGTAAGTCTTAATGCATTAATGCACTGTAATTTTTTTTACAAGATTTATTTTATTTATTTGAAAGGCAGAGTTAGAAGAAGAGACAAAGAGATCTTCAGTCTGCTGGTTCACTCCCTAAATGTCCACAATGGCCTGAACTGGGTCAGGCCGAAGCCAGGAGCCAGGAACTTCATCTGGGTCTCCCATGTGAGTGCCAGGAGCCCAAGCATTTGGGTCATTTGCTGCTGCTTTCCCAGGGACATCAGTAGGAACTGGATCAGAAGTGGAGCAGCTGGGATTTGAACTGATGCTCATATGGGATGCTGGTGTTGCAGGTGGCACCAACACCACAGTGCTGGCCCCAATGCACTGCAGTTTTTTTTTGTTTTGTTTTTTTGTTTTTTGTTTTGTTTTGTTTTGTTTTTTTGACAGGCAGAGTGGACAGTGAGAGAGAGAGACAGAGAGAAAGGTCTTCCTTTGCCATTGGTTCACCCTCCGATGGCCGCCATGGCTGGCGCACTGCAGCCTGCACACCGCGCTGATCCGAAGGCAGGAGCCAGGTACTTCTCCTGGTCTCCCATGGGGTGCAGGGCCCAAGCACCTGGGCCATCCTCCACTGCACTCCCTGGCCACAGCAGAGAGCTGGCCTGGAAGAGGGGCAACCGGGCACTGCAGTTTTTAAGGACATAAAGGATAGGATTCCAAAAAGAAAAAAAAACCCTATAAGTACTAGCCAAATGGTGGTTGGTCTATGAAAAGACAGCAGAATTCCTGAGAAGTTATCTAGTTATCTATACCATCATGTTACGTTCTTTATCACCCAACAGCAAAATTCCTGAGAAGTTATCTATTCCATCATGTTACATTCTTTATCACCCAACTATCTTGTAGTAACAACCTGAGAGAAAGATGACCTGCATCGTCACTTGGGTAGGGAGGCTTGTCTGATGCAACAAAGCTAGTGAAAAATCTCAAAGCAGAATGGCAAAACCATTTAGGCCCTGTTCTGCGATTTCCCTTTCCAGTTGTTCATTGTAATGCATCAGAAGGGCAAGATCGGGTCCAGCACTGTGGCGCAGCAGGTTAACGCCCTGGCCTGAAGTGCCAGCATCCCATATGGGCACAGGTTCTAGACCCGGCTGCTCCACTTTAGATCCAGCTCTCCGCTATGGCCTGGGAAAGCAGTAGAAGATGACCCAAGTCCTTGGGCCCCTGTACCCTGTGGGACCGTGTGGGAGACCCAGAAGTTTTCCTGGTTCCTGGCTTCAGATTGGCGCAGCTCTGGCCATTGCGGCTAATTGGGGAGTGAACCATCGGATTGAGACCTCTCTCTCTGCCTCTCCTCTCTATGTGTAACTCTGACTTTCAAATAAATAAATCTTTAAAAAAAGGCAAAAAAAGGGCAAGATTTAAGCTGTTTCCCTGCTCTAATAAGAAAGAGCAACTTGTAATTGTGTCAGCATGTTGATGTTTGAAATTGTCTTTGTACTTTCAAAGAAACCTGTGGTCCAGATAACGCTTCAAGATGTACGCCGCATTTACAAGAGGAGGCACGGCCTCATGCCTTTGGTGAGTTTGGTGGAGTCCAGTTCTGGGCGATGGTTGTCATGCCTGCAGTGGAGCTGTGGTTTATTGGCTTGCAAGCCCTTAGGATGTGCCTGAAAAGGGCAAGTATATTGTATCATGGGCAAACGGACTCTGGTTCCTGCTGCTGCTGCTTTTGCTTAAGTTAGAAATCTGTAGAGTTCTGTTGTGAAAATGTTTTTGGCTCCAAGTCTAAGAGGGCTTGAGTTTCTCACACCTGGAATCTGAGTTCCCGGGATTAAATTTGGGCAGAACTAGTCCAGTGCTACTTGCCCCTATCTGCTCATAGCATCCAGATATCAAAGTAACATGCGGAAGATACTACACAGTTAGCTTCCAGTGGAATTGTACTGTATTCCCAGTTCACTTTTGTTAACTGAATTCAACCTTTGGGAGCAATGTGAGGGAGAAGTAGATAAAATAGCCAGTTAAGTCACATGGACAGTTCTTCCCCCCGATCCCCGGGGTGAGCACGGGTCCACATTTGGCAGTCATCTTGGACACTTGATTCAGAAACCAGTCCCTACAGAAGTTGATTCCAGAGTGTGTTGATTTATCATCAGCATAAACTCAGCTTTTCTCCTTTGAAGATTAACCAATAACTTAATAGAATTACAAAAACACTGTGGGATTTTAACCATCTCATTTTTATGTTTTTAATGTATGAATTCTTACTGTAGGTGACATCTCTGTTCCCAGTGCTACTAGAGAGTCAGGGAAATGTATACTCGTAAAAATTTCCTCTCTTGGGGGTAGAGGGGCAATCAAAGGGAAGAGATCAGCATGAAATGCCATGTATGACCCAGGCAGACCATAGTATTTCATTTCTTTGCCATCACAATCCATGTGGAATAGATGATGTTGTATTTTATAAAGAATTGGAAAATCTAAAAGTAAACTAACTTCCTAAATTTCCTGGCTAGTGAGTTGTGAAAGCCCGAGTCTGAACCGAGAGCGGGCCTGGGCTTGCATCCTTTCTTTGTATAGCCCTGTCCAATCACAGCCTTACCTGCACAATATATTTTTTTTAAAGATTGGTTTATTTGAAAGAGTTACACAGAGAGAAAATGAGAGGCAGAGAGAGAGAGCGAGGTCTTCCATCTGCTGGTTTACTCCCCAGTTGACCGCAACGGCAGGAGCTGCACCAATCTGAAGCCAGGAGCCAGGAGCTTCTTCTAGGTCTTCCACGTGGGTGGCAGGAGCCCAAGCACTTGGGCCATCTTCCACTGCTTTCTCAGGCCACAGCAGAGAGTTGGATCTCAAGTGGAGCAGCCGGGACTCAAACCGGCACCCATATGGAATGCCAACACTGCAGGCAGTGGCTTTACCCACTGTACCACAGCACCGGCCCCTACCTGCACAATGTTAACAAAGCTCATAACTGTCTTTGAAAACCATTGTGGTTTATTAATTCAATGAGTTATTCCATGTGTGCATAATTGTTATTTGTATGGAAAAGCTTTTTGTGTCAGAAGAGATGTGAAGACATGAATCAGTTAATTTTGAATTTCAAAACAGTAAAATCACAAAAGCTATTATCAGTGAAAGCATTAAACATCAAAGGTGGTTTACAGAGACCCATCATTTGTTCTCAGGAGGTTTATACACATAACTGATATAGATAGATCGATCTCACTGAATCCAATGTATAGATGGAAAATATGAATACAGTGCCTAGAAATAAAAAGTAGGGATTGAAAGGCTTTCATACACTTACGTTGGGATTGAAAGGTGAATATGATGCTATTTGTTTTATCTTTTCTTTTTCTGAACTTACAGGGTTTGGAAGTATTTTGCACTGAAGATGATCTGTGCTCTGACATCTACCTGAAGTTCTATGAACCTCAAGACAGAGATGATCTCTATTTTCATATTGCCACATACCTAGGTTTGGTACTCTATGTTCTTTGTACCTATTTACACATCTGCTGCTCAGCTCCTAAGGAACTGGGGTGGGAAATGAGAGAAGAAGAATGCTTTATCTCTGAGCACCTCTCTGTGGTTCTACTTATTCCTCTGATCAGCAATTACAGTTAGCAAAATAATATTTTAAAAACTAACAGAAATATAAATTCTTTTTGTGGTATTTCATTCTAATTTGTTTTCAATTTCTTGATATATATTTAAATTTTTTAATGTTTTAATGACCTTCAACTTGAATGGATTGCAAAGCTACTGAAATATTTTTATATTGTCGTGTTTTATATTAGTTTATGAAAACAAAGGCTCCATTTCCTTATGTGAAATGGCGAGTTACCCAGTCACAAGTTGTTATTATTGACTATGGTTTTAGTCACAAAGCCACAAGATAAGGGAAAGGGAACATGTAAACCTTCCGCCTACTCTTCAATTGGAATCTGCTTTTAATTAATGATAGTTCCTCAGTCTTTAATGAAGTGTGACTTTTCCCAGAGAAAACACCTGTATTTTTCTTACAAAGCATCTAAATGATTCCTGTTTACAGAGTTGCCAGATGACAAGAATAGAATGATTTTTTAAAATGAATATTGGCATTTTATTAATGCCACCTGAATTTTATTTGCTATTGTGTACAGTGAAACCATTCTACCTAAACATTGAAATTTTTCCTTAAGCAGAAATGGTTTACTTTCAATAAGGATATTTTTAATTTTTTTTAAATCTTTTTTTATTTTTAGTGTTTAACAAATTGATTAAAGTACACATATAAATTCTAATAATGATATTCCTTTCCTCCCTCTAATAATGAATATATTTAATTTGACAGTAGGCTTATAGTTGGTATCTTTCTTCACATATTAAGCAATTCAAGTTAACTTAGTACTTCAGTATAACCCTGGTTTGAGTTTACTTTTATTCCTTGCCACTTGGCTTATTTTGTAACTTTTCTAACTATCAAGATTATAACCCAAAACTCAGCTTTCATGGTGAGTCCTAAAATATCAAGTCAAAAGCCTTACCGTGATCTGGAACATCTGTCTTGTTCTCTGTTCTTCGAGTTTATGCCTGCGCTTGATCAGACTGCTCCTGAGGTGGTTCATGAGGGGAAAATGGGGGATGGGCGGAAAGGGGGCATTGATTTTTGAAGCCCTTCCTTAGTGATTAGAAAAGAAATTTGGTAAAAGTAAATGAAAATAAATATTGAATCAGCACCCTAGTTAAGTTACTTGAGGCATCTAATAAAAATTTGAAAGCAGAATTTTCTGAACAAAATGGAAAATCCATCTGTAGGACAGTACTCTCTGGAATTAGGGAAAATTCTCATTGTGGTGTATTGTGATTCCATTGCTCCAGAGGAATGTCTGGGGTTGGCCTCTCTGTTTTTTATAGGTGGAGAATTGGTCTTCCTGCCAAGTATCATTTTTTCTTCCTTAGCAATGTCTCGTCTTTCCAGTCCATCACTGACAGATTAGCAGAGGTACACCTCTTCTCCCAGATCTAGAAGAAAACTCATATTGCTTTGTACTGATTTCAAAAAAATTGGGGGAAATAAACTTTCACAATTGGCCACTTTAAAAAATAGTTTTTAATAGTTCTTTAAGAGTATGCATTTTCTATGAACTTTATTTTGAGAGACGGATGAGAGAGAGCTCCCATGCACTGATTCATTCTGCAAGTGCCCGAAACAGCTGAGTCTTGGGCCCCATCAAACACTGGGTGTCAGAAACTCAATCCAGGTCTCCTATGTAAGTGGCAGGAACATAATTACATGAGCCATCATTGCTGCCTCCAGGGTCTGCAGTTAACAGTAAGCTGTAGTCAGGCACTCTGATGTGGGATGTGAGCATCTTAACACCACACTAAATGCCACCCTTTCCACAGTTTTTGAATGCATTAAAATTCAGCATATTTAGAGGATTCTTTGTTATCTGTTATATAACTTTTAGCTTTTACCATGTTATAGTTATATGTCTAATCCATACTTTTGTATTTGTTTAGGTTATATCATAATTGAGGCTAGAAAAATAATTCGGAGGCTGGCACTGTAGCACAGTGGGTTGAGTCGCTGCCTGTGACTCTTGCAACCCATATGAACACCAGGTTGAGTCCAGCTGCTCCACTTCTGATCCAGCTCCCTGCTAATATGCCTGAAAAAAAAAAAAAAAAAAACAGCAGAAGATGGACCCAAGTACTTGGGCCCCCTTCCACCCAGGAAGGGGAAGACCCAGATGGAGTTCAAGGCTCCTGGCTTCAGTCTATTCCAGCCTTGGCAGTTATAGCCATTTGAGGAGTAAACCAGTGAATGGATGATCTCTTGTCTCTCTCTCTTCCTCTCTCTCTCTTAACTCTGCCTTTTAAATAATTCTAAAAAGTCATTTTTTTGAACAACAAAAAAACAAAAATAGTTCAATATATTAATTTCCCCTCCTGTATTTTAGTGATACTCCCACTGAATTGAACAACTACTTCATGAAAACAAATCAGTGATCTAATTTTCTTCTTAAAATTATTTTTCAAAGTATTTTGATGGGTCTACATTTTTGTTGTTGTTGTTAGTTTTATTTGAAAGACAAAGAGCCAGAAAGAGACAAAAACAGACAGCAGAGATCACTTACCCATTGGTTCACACCCCAAATGCCTGCAATAGTCAGGACTGGGCCAGGCTGAAGCCAGCAGCTTGGAACTCAATCCAGGTCTCTGACATAGGTGGCAGGGACGCAAGTACTTGAGCCGTCACCTGCTGAATCCTAGGAAGCTGGATTGGAAGCCTAGGAGCCGGGCTATGAACCAGGCACTTGATACAGGAAGTGCGCATCCTTAGGCGTGTGTAAACCACTGTGCCCAGCACCAGCCTGCAGTCCACGCATTCAGCTTCTAGTTTTACACTGTGTAAGAAGTGGCGGTAAGTGACATAGCCTGGGACCCTCTTCCTGCAGAGCACCATGTAGCTGAGCACACCGCCGAGAGCTACATGCTGCAGTGGCAGCGAGGGCACCTCTCCAACTACCAGTACCTCCTTCACCTCAACAACCTGGCCGACCGCAGCTGCAACGACCTCTCCCAGTATCCCGTGTTCCCGTGGATAATCAATGATTACTGCAGCACAGAATTAGGTAAATTCCTTGTGTGGGCTCCGACAAAGCAGAATTGAGAGGGATCATTTGCACTGTTTTCAGAAGAAAAAATAAACTGTTTTAAAATCATGATTTGACATTCAAACAAATTAAAATTTGTTTAATTTTTGGTACTAAAGATTGCCAATTTCTACTCCAAACTACTAGATGGTGTTAGGCAAATTATGTAAGCACTTTATGTATGTATTTCCCATATTTCTTGAAGAATGTACACAGAAAGTACATACATAATTTCAATCCAGTGTTATTTTCTGTAAATACCATGTTTTTGAAATATTTATTTCTCACTTTGAAAATTTTAATTAGTTTTCAGATTATTTTAAAATTTGCATTTAAAAATAGTTATCCGAAGAAATAACTATTCGTTATAAAATATTTTTTCCAAAAAGGAAATAAAAACCCTCCATAATTACAATACTGGGAAGTAATTATTTTTATTTTGTGGTATATATTCTCTTTCAGTCCCTCAAATGATTTTAATAAAAATGTGATCATGCTTTAATTCCATTTTGTAATGTTTTAAAATTGTATAGTGAACAATTATAGTTCCTTGTGACAATTTACCAAATTGAGTACTCATACTCGAAAGAGATAACAGAATTTTTGGGAATATCAGAATTTATTTTTCCGATAATATTCAGGTCCCAGTTCTCAAATTATGCTGATATCATAGATTAATAATATTCACTATATTACAGTCTTACAAAGTACATCTTGGTAGAATAGTAGCTTCATAAAATTTGTTGTTTTGGGGGCCGGTGCTGTGGCATAGTGGGCTAAGCCTCTGCCTGCAGCATCAGCATCCCATGCGGAAGACAGTTCTAATCCCATCTGCTCCTCTTCCGATCCAACTCTATGCTATGGCCTGGAAAAGCAGTGGAAGATGGTCCAAGTGCTTGGGAGACCCAGAGAAAGCTCCTGGGTCTTCGGATCGGCTCAGCTCCGGCTGTTGCAGCCATTTGGGGAGTGAACCAGCAGATGCAAGACCTTTCTCTCTGTCTCTCCCCTTCTCTGTCTCCAACTCTCTCAAATAAATGAAATTTAAAAAATATTTGCTGCTTTTTGTTATTTTAATTGAGAGTGTTTTTTTTTTTAAAGATTTATTTATTTTATTTGAAAGCAGAGTTACAGAGAGGTAGAGGTAGAGGCAGAGGGAGAGAGATCTTCCTTCCACTGGTTCACTCCCTAAATGGCTATAACGGCCTGAACTAGGCCAATCTGGAGCCAGGAGCTTCTTCTGGGTCTCCCACACAGGTGCAGGGGCCCAAGCACTTGGGCCATCTTCTACAGCTTTCCTAGGCCATAGCAGAGAACTGGATCAGAAGTGGAGCAGCTGGGACTCAAACCAGCACCCATATGGGATACCGGCGCTGCAGACAATGGCTTTACTGCTACGCCACAGTACTTGCCCCTAACCTTTTCTTTATAGCTATATAAATAACAGAAATATTTAATTCTGAATTTATCTCCAATTTTTAAAACTATTTTATGTCAATAAATGTGCACATTTGAGTAAGCTCAGAAAGATAATGGTTTTGACCATAAACTGAAATTTACATATATGTAACATATTATATATATGTTTATAGACTTGTCAAATCCAGGAACCTTCCGGGACCTGAGTAAGCCAGTGGGGGCCCTAAACAAGGAAAGGCTGGAGCGACTGCTGGTACGTGTCTTAGGATTCTTGGTTTCCAAGCTACATCAAGAGCTGTGGACTGTGTACGCAGAGCAATCAGAGCTCATGGCTGTAATACTTAGGGGAGAAACACTCATCCATGACCCTGTGTAATGTTTTCTCCACCATGAATTTAACTGCTCATGCACAGTTGCTTCTTTAATCGACAGTTCAGGAAGGAGGGATATGTGTTTACCTGTTAAAGGAGTTATTTTCTGAAAGTTTACTCTGGTAAACTGCACTAGATGCATAAAATCAGTTCTGTTGAACATTGTCCCAACATGGTTGCACCCAAGCCAGGAAACCAAAATACTTTTTACAGGCTTGCAGTTCAGACAGAGATTAAACCTCCACCTTTTCTTCTTTTCCTATCTAAGAGAGAAATTAAAGAATGTATGTAGAGTATCCATGCCCTGGTTTCTTTTATGCTTTCACTACTTGAGTCACCTATTGTTTTATCACCTGTACTTAGCATGGCTTTCTCCCCACTGTATTGTAGACACGATACCAAGAAATGCCTTGGCCAAAGTTCATGTATGGAAGTCACTATTCTTCCCCAAGTTACGTGCTATTTTATCTTGTTAGAATTGGTAAGCTCTTTATCGTTGCCTTAATTAAATTTGATTATACTTGGATTCTTAACTCTGTGATCCCATTTAACTTGGATGCTTTTCCCTCCAGCACCTGAGTACATGCTGTGCCTACAGAATGGAAGATTTGATAATGCAGATAGAATGTTCAACAGGTTTGATAAAAATGCCTCACTTATCATTTTTAATCCTTTTTGATTATATATAAAAATATATCTCAACATTACATATAAATAAAAGTACATATTCTGTTCAGGCTTTTTCTAGACATATTGTGTGTGTATGTATGTGTGTATAAATGTGAAAGTATATTTTAAATACAGTTTTTTGGTCCTGCCTTTTGTAACCTAATATTAGATCTTGAAGTATTTCCCATAATGTTAGACATTCTTCAAAACCAAGATTTTTTTTTTTAAATTACTGTATCATATTCTCACACATATAAGTTATTTCAAGTAATTTTATTTAATATCGGACATTCCCAGCATTTCATTTTTATGAGAATTAATTAGAACTTTCTGTGAGTGTTTAAGTCGCTTCACTTTTTCCTATTATGAATGTAATGTTTCCTTCCAAAAGCAAAAACCAGAAAACTGTAAAGAAGGAATTAATTTGGTATTCCGCCACACTGATAATAATCGTTCATCTTTGGGTCTGTCTTTCCAGTCTTTTTCTGGGCTCTGCATGTGTCTACCTACAGTTCCTTTTGAAATGAGCTGATAAAATAAATAAATCTTCCAGTGTTTAGGTAACTGCCTCGTTTTGACTCTTAGATGAGGCAGTGTGTATGTGGTGGCTGATGGTATAGGTTTGTGCTCCACACCCACGTCCCTGTGTGACTGCAGAGATGACGTGAGCTCCGTGGGCCGTGATTGTCTCTTCTGTTAAAGGGGCATACACAAGTGCGTGTTGAGGACTGAGTGAGTGTGAAAAATGAATGCATCTAGCCAAAGGGTAGAACAGTGGGCAGGTGCTGGGCTGCATTGCTGTCACAATTTCCATAGCTTAGAGTTAAGTCAGGTGAATTTTTTTTCATATTTAGTATTGCAGAAACTTGGAAAAACTGTTTGGATGGTGCAACAGATTTTAAAGAGGTAAGAAATGCATAAAGTTAAGGACTCACTGGGCTTGGGATTTCAAACTGCTTTAAAAAGAATTTGTTGCTATTTTGTTTCTCTTCAATTTTCAGTTGATTCCAGAATTCTATGGTGATGATGTCAGCTTTTTAGTCAATAGTCTGAAGTTGGATTTGGGAAAGAGACAAGGAGGGCAGTTGGTTGATGATGTGGAACTTCCTCCTTGGGCTTCAAGTGAGTACCATCTTGGAGGTACTGTGCACCAAGTAGTGCACTTTCTGCTTCATTAATTCATTGCTTAATATTAACCATGTAATTCTGTCTAAATGAGACAGTATCAATCCTGTTCCAATGTCTGAGTCTATGATGTTAAAAATATAGGTGTGTATTTAAGAGACCAAAATGTAAGAATGATTCTTGCTACTTTTTCCCCTAAAAGACTTATATTTGACATGATAAACAAAAATGTCTTATTAAGAAATATCTACCCCTGTTGCCTATCCTAGAAGTGTTATCTCCTTATGGATAAACAAATGGGAAAAAATGGAGACCCTGTGATGTTTTGATTGAGTCTAATCTGCTAGGTCCTGAGGACTTTCTGCAGAAGAGCAAAGATGCATTGGAAAGCAGTTATGTGTCTGAGCACCTCCATGAATGGATTGATCTAATATTTGGCTACAAGCAAAAAGGGAGTGATGCTATTGAGGCCCATAACGGTATGTACTAGTCATGAATATTTCATTTAGCATTTGGTGAAAAGATGAGGCAAGAGCATTGAAGCTTATTTTTTCAAAAGTAGCATCTTAAATCCAAAAACAGTACCCACTGGCCCCGTGACCCTCAATTACATACAGAGTTAGGAGGAAGGAGTGCTGCCTAAACAATACCAGCATCACTAAGGCCCCAAGAGGCCTTTTTCTGAAGTCTTATTTTAGCATAGGCATCATCACTCAGAATCTGGGAAATTGGTTCCAGGACCCCACACAGACAGCAGAGTCTACTTATGCTCAGGTCCCTTAAATGAAGTGACACAGTATTTGCGCAAGACCCACGCACATCCACTCATATACTTCACATCATCACATTAGTTGTAATACCACATGCAATGTAAATAGCCTGGAAATAATTGTTCTGCTCTGTCGCTTGAGGAATAACGACAATAAAGTCTACCTGCGCTGTGCAGGTGCAGTATTTTTCTCCAGTTGTTTCCATGATGTGATCAGCTGGGTGCAGAGGGCCAACTGTGTTCTCCATCTTCTCCAGTCATCTCAGTTAAAACTCCATCAGAGTACGCTAGACAGTGACCTCAGTTCTTGGGAAGGACTCCAGAGATTGCTTTTACTCGAAGGGAAAGAAAGCCGCAGCAGTATACCTCATCTCCAACTCAGTGCTTGTCTGACTTCAAGAGTCTCGGTGTCAGTGACAAGGAAATGGAGCTGGGAATTCAGACCTGATTTCTCAGAGTGGAATCGATGCTGTGGCTTGTTAATGCTGATTGAGAAATACACTCATAACAGGTTACCCAACCTGCCAATTAAATTACTGTTCATCAAAAGGTCATAATCCAAGTTGTGAAGATCACTAAGTTCAATATTGGTCTGCTTTGCAAAGTAAAAAACAATTTCTTTGAACACAAGCTTTGAGTTTTGAGCTGTTTAAATTCTGAACAGAGTATATAACTAAATAGTACATCTCTCAATAATGCTTTAATATGTCTCTTTCAGTATTTCATCCGCTGACCTATGAAGGAGGTGTCAACTTGAACAGGTACTTCCGTGTCTACAAGGAATTGTGAACTTGAGATATAAAATACCTCTTCATCTGAAGTAGTATGATACTTATGTGAGAATGTGGCATTTCAGAATGTGTTGTATCTTGTTTTCCTCATGATGTTAGCTACTGCACCTCAGAATATGGTTGAAAGATCTGTGATGAGATTCTGCCAATAGCTGCTGGCCTGTTGTTGCTGTCACTGTTTGAGGGTTCACTTCCCCCGCTGAATATGTGCTTCCTGGTAGCTTGAATCTGGTGACTCACTACATGATTTGCATTCTGTCCTAAAGCATCGAGGATCCTGATGAGAAAGTGGCCATGCTCACCCAAATCCTGGAATTTGGGCAGACACCAAAACAGCTGTTTGTGACACCACACCCTCGAAGGATCACTCCAAAGTTTAAAAGTCTGTCTCAGACTTCCAGTTACAATGCTTCTATTGCTGATTCCCTGGGTGAGTTTTGTAAGAAGGCATGGGAGCACCTTGTGTTTCACTGTTGCAATTAAGAGGTCTCTGAAGAGGAGGAATCCAGGAACTCTTGTGCTGCTAAGGGATGATTGTTTTCATGTTGTTCTCCCAGAAACAAACCCTTAGGGGAGTCAAATCACTTTTATTTTCTGGTACTGTAATATGGGTAAGACTTGGCTGTGTGTGTGTGTGTGTGTGTGTGTGGTTCCCTTGCTTTCCTATGGTTTTCCAAGCTGGTGTTTGATTCTCTGCTATATGCCTTTTCATACTTACAGTCTTGGCCGTGGCTGCTTTAACAGTCACTGTCAGCCCTACTTTTCCAGCAGTGACTTCCTCCATCCCTGATGCTCCTCTTCTGTACCCACATCCGTGTTCACTCAAAGCATCATGTTTTCTATTTGATTCTGTTTTCTTATGTAACACTTGACAGAGTCACAAGGATATTGCCTCTGTGCCAGCCATACACAAAGTACTGGAATGAATTTGGCCCAATTGTTGCATCTAGCATGTAGAAAGATGGGAGAGAGCACACGGCTCCATGCAGTGATCCACATTTTAGATTGCATGTAAGACAGCTTCCACTTACGAGCTTGTAGGATTGTGCACTGTGGAACCTTGGAGCAGAGTCACTTAATTTCCTCTTAACTCCAGTTCTACTAGCAATGCCAAGCACATCCATGCTTCTTAGGCACACACAGCTGAGCACTCTCTCAAGTGTGGACGAATAGCTTTCTGGAGCTGTGTGACCCAGGGTAGCTTGGAGTGCTTAAGACAGTGCTCCACAGGGCTAAGTCTGCAGACCATGGGATCATCTTGTGATGCTGTTTCAACCCCTGAGCTGCTTAGTCACGAGGTCTTAACCGTTCTCATGTGATTGTTTCCAAAGGGCGATTTGTCCTCCTCAAAGTGGCAGTGAAGGGATTACCTAGCTAGTCCTGTCCAGAAGCCCTTGCAGTAACTGATTGCAACTCTGCCTTCACTTCAGAATCCAAAGTGCTACATTCTCAGGTCCCTGTCAGGGTTTTGTAAACACTCCTGACCAGGAAAGGGTTACTCAGTCTAGTGTTTCCTGAGATTCATAAATTAGCAGCCAAGTGACAACGTTGCAAATATTTTTAAAAGCATACAGACTGGTATGCAAAGATAAATCTTTCTGTGCACTATTTTTCCTCCACTGACATGGAGCTGCCCAACAAGTAACAATTCAAAGCAGTCCTATTTTAGTGGGCTGCTTTGTTTTCTCGGCTGTTTTGTTAAAAATAGACAGTACTATGGATCTGATGTGGGTGTGTGTTAGCAATTTAGTTGACTCACTTAGTGATCTAATGTAGTCTCTCCAGGTGAAGAATCTTTTGAAGACTTGACCGAAGAAAGCAAGACACTAGCCTGGAATAACATCTCCAAACTGCAGTTGCATGAGCAGCACAAACTCCACAAGGAGTAAGTGTGCCTGTGCGTCTCAGCAGCCTGGTGTTCAGGTGGAAGTCATGGTCTTGGCACGGGGTTGAATAGTTGTAAACTGAGTCAATGGGGAGATTCCTTTTCAGTGTGGTCTTGATTGTTGTTTATCCCCCCTATCCCAAACGCCAAACATCTGCAGTGGTCTGCCACTCAAGTCCATGGAACAAGGGCAAGTTAGTTGAGCACAGAATAATGTGTGGTGGCTCACCATGCTGTTAACTTCTGTTCACATCTGCAGATGGCAGATAGTTTCCTGCCTCTCTCACGACCCCTTGAGTACCTGATGGTGTGAAGCCATGGTACACCCTTCTCCAGTGATGAGTTTACTCCTAATATAGGGGGAAATGCATAGCCTAGAAAAATGATACCAAACATGGGAACCTGTACACACATGGACACACGAGTGTGTGTGTATACATATTACATGTAGTATATGTGTCTGTGTATATATACAGATACATATATATGTATCTGTGTATATAGATGTATGTACATATTTATATGGTTGCAAAGTACACATGAATTTTTAAAATAGTTCTTCAAAGACATTGGGCTTCTGCCAGACCAGGGGTATGTGAGTGTCCCGACTCCGTCTTCTGCCACTGAGGACGTTCGGGTATTCTGGGGCAGAGGCTTGAGAAGCCTGGTCCAGGTCCAGCCCATTCCGTCAGAGAAAGAAAGTGCAGGCCCCGGGGATCAGGCTGCTGTCTGCCCCCGGCCATGCCCGTAATTGACATTCTGGGCGTATGTGTACCATTGCTGTACCTGGACTAGGACTTGCTGGTCTGTCTGAGACGCCTGTCTCCACTCAGTACAGCCTCCTGGCCGGAAACAGCTAGCCCCGCCTCATTTGTTGCAGCTATTCTTTCCTCAGCGTCTCTCAGTGGCACATGGAAAGGGACACTAATGAAGACACAGATGAGTCTTTGATGGTGTGAACATAATGCTTAACGAAGCCTGCGTGTCCTTTAAGAGGATACACTAGAACAGACAGTTAAGTCTTCACTGGACGGACGCTGGTAGATGAGAGTCAGTAATGCAGCAGGTGAAGCCACTGTAAAGAAGAGTTGCAGACAGTTTGGTGATGGTTAAGTGAAGAAGCAGCATTTCCCGATTGTCAGAAGAAGCTAAACATGGACCATGGCAGCTGAGGGAACTGAGAGCAAGGATGGTCTGTAGCCACAAGGTACTCAGAGCAAAGTTCAAGGTTGCCAGGCGATCATTTAGTGGTGGCAGGTGTGTCCAGGGGTAGACCCAGCAGACAAATGGTAAAGAAAGTAATTGAGAGAACTTGGTGATGCACAGAGCAGGCGTGCCAACACAGGGTTGATGGTAATTTATGAAACTTTGTTTTTAACAGGGCAGTCACGGGAATAGCAGTCTCCTGCAATGGGGCCTCAGTCTTCACAACGTCACAAGGTATGGTTTCCTGCCTGGCAAGTGGTTTAACTGAAATCAAAAAGTCCAGGCTTCTTCACTCAGGCCAAGGACTGGACTTGCATGTAAAATTAAGTTATAACAATTTATGTATGCCGTATTACATAAAATGTCATCAGATTCACCAAAAACAAAATGCCTTTCTGGCGGTGGTAAGCTTTCCTAAAATGAAAAGAAGAGCCTCCTTCCCCTCTCTTCTGTGTTCTGGTGCAGTTAGGACCTTTCCTTCCTGCTGCCATGAGAACGGGTGCCAGCTCCACCTTCTGGGTCTGCTGGACCGGAGCTGAGAGTGGCAGGTGCCATGTCAGACACAGGCTTAGGCTTGTGTGCACGTGCAAATGCAGATTTGCTCTTGCATTTTCCAGTTTTGCCATTTAATGTATATTTTCGGGTGATTTTTTTTGGTAGAATTGAGCTCAATTGAATATATTAATGTGCTTATACATGGTAAAAATTATAGAAGCCGCTACAGTGCCAAGCTAATAGGACTTCTAACAATATTTTAATTGCTACATTGGAATTTGGCTATCTTGATGGGGTTGTTGTGTGGCAGCACCTTCATCCCATATTGGAGTGCCAGTTGAATCGTGGCTGCTCCACTTCTGATCTAGCTTCCTGTTAATGTGGCTGGGAAGACAGTGGATGATGGCCCAAGTAGTTGGGCTCCTGCTACCTATGTGGCAGACCCGCATGGAGTTCTAGGCTGCTGGCTTCCTTCTGGTCCATCCCTGGCTGTTGTAGGCATTCTGGTAGTGAAGCAGCAGATGAAAGAGCTCTCCTCTATCACCCCCCTCTCTCTCTCCTCTGCCTTTAAACTAAATATATAAATCCTAAAAAAGAATTTGGCCATCTTGCTCTTAAACAAAAATAAGCACAATGCAAGCCTTGCTCTGTACACTGTTGCTTTCCCTAGAAATCTGTGTAATACGTAATTTACGTAGGTCTTGTCCCTTCCATGTTCAGACCCTGTGCTGGTGCCCTGGAAGGTCCGGAGCTGAGAAGGGTGGTGTGGTCCTGTCCTGCTTCCATGATGAAACAGCCGGTCTGACAGAGCTGATAGCTCTTTGTAGTGAGGCTACCTGTTTTTAGTGCTTATCACAGCAAACTATGTTCTGTATTCATTGAGTTAAATGATCGTATCTACCAACACTTCAGCTGCATTAGAGTTGCTACTCGGAGGTTCTGATGTCGCGGTTTCACTTCCAAATAGTATCTCAGATTTGATACAATAGAGTTGTCTCAAAGTACAGGAAAATAAGCCTACAGGTGACCAAGAGGAAGTTCACCATAAGGAGCCACGTGTGCCCATCGGGGTCCCTGGGGTGGTGTTCTGGTAGAAGAAAGCTGAGGTTTTCCAGTATTTCTGCCAGCAGGTTTGCCAGCCTCGTGGCACCTGACAGCATGCCTTAGCATTAAGCAGAGCCTGCGCTGGTGGCTGGATTTGTCTAGCGTCGTTTGTTAGATTCCCGCTCGCTTGTACTGTCATGACCTGGTAAGCCCTGAGTTTTATGAGCATCAAGGCTTCCCATCTCTCAAGCTTTTTAAGCATTATATCGCCTCTGGGTGGATTTACACAAGAGAGGGGTGTTTTAAAAATCCCAAGTTTTTGTTTTTTTCTGTTTCTTTCTTCCCACAGTTATATTTTCACGGTTTGTCCTTCATGTATGTGTCCTGTTGGTCACCCCAATGTGACATTTCTTCCTCAGATACACGTTTAGGTGTGCATCATTCATGGAACCCAGAACCTACGAGAAGAGCTCTCAGTGAAATCTTTTTTTTTAAGGTTTATTTATTTGAAAGGCAGAATGAGAGAGAGCAAGCGAGAGAGACAGACGCACACAGACACCGTCCAGATGTCCACCAAAACTGAGACAGGGTCAGGCCTGGAGCCAGGAGCCAGGAGCTCCATCTGGGTCTCCCACATGGCTAGCAGAGATGGAAGTACTGGTGACATTCTCTGCTGCTTCCCAGTTGCATTAGGCGGGAGCGGGATGAGCAGCTGAGGTGCCAGGGCCTGAGCTGGCGCCCCGAGACGGGATGTGGGCATCGCAAGCGGTGGCTTAACCCTCTGCATCGCTCCTGCTCCATGGCCTTGGTGTCTGAGCAGTTGTTTTGAAGAACTTGTAAAGCTTCCTGTCATTTGTTCATTCTTACTTTATTATTTAGAAAGCTGGTAGTTCTCCTCTATAAAGGCTAACTCATTGCAGGAGGACTGAACTATACCTTCACTGGACTACTTGTTTAAAAAAGTATCGCCAAGGTCTTTAATATTAAAATGGCTATTTTCCTCTTTGTTAACTTTTAGCTGGTGTCAATTACCAGGCTTATTTGTGCCTTCTGTCCTCATGCCAACCACATACCAGTGCTGGGTTTTAAGTGCATTTTCTTGTCACAGAGTTGCAGATCATACAGTCTTGCTATCAGATGAGGCTTCAGATCATGCAACCCCAGGTCTCACCAGAATTTTATTTCCTGTTGGCCTCCAGGAACAAGAAGAGCAGCTGTTCTTTGACATTTGTAATATTTAGGAAATCTTTCTAATGTGTGTTTTCTTCTTATTAGATTCTACCTTGAAGATGTTTTCTAAAGAATCCAAAATGTTACAAAGAAGTATATCATTTTCAAATATGGTGCGTTCACTTTTATTATCAGTGTTGGGCTAGAAATTCATGTAGTTTGTTTTATACACATGCACAATGGTGTTTTATTTCTCCCAAAAGAAATGAGTTTATTCCTGTATGGTATCTACAGAATACTATAGATTACTATAGAATACTATTAGATTACTTGAAAATTCCATTTAAAACATTTTTCAAGTTGCCTTTCTCAAACTATTATTATTTCATTTTTAGCCACAAAAACTTGAAGAGCTATTCAAGTAGTAAATCTTTTTTTTTTTAAGTTGTCGGATTAAATGTTTATGTGCTGCTTAGATCTCTTGAACATGTTACTTAGTGTGTAGGAAGACCCCTAATGTGAAAAACCAATTCATCTAAAAGAACACATTTTGTTTTTCACATAAATTGTCTAGAACTTTTTTGAGATTAAAGAATTTTGGAAGTTTCCCTTATCCTCTGACGTCTGTAATCCAGCGAGGGCATTTTCACTCTCGAGGGCACTCCCTGGCCCTCCCAGGGTGTTGGCAGGAGTCCCTCCTGCCCAGCTCAGGGAGGCCACCAGCACCCAAGAGTCATCAGGCTTGGCCAGAATGTGTTGACACACTTGGCCGTTTCTTCTTTGCTGGGGAGGAAACCCTGCATCAGGAATTAGCCAGCTGAGAAAATCTGGGTAAATTTGAAGAGCACCACCATCACGAGAATTTGGTCATTAATTCTGGGGGCTGGGATTTAAAAGCTAGAATAACCATGGGGGGAGTAGGGATTTAGTAATTATCGGTAATCATTCACGCCGAATCATTTGTATTTCAGGCTTTGTCATCTTGTTTACTTTTACCAGGAGATGCCACTGTCATAAGTTCTTCTTGGGATAATAACGTGTATGTATCTCTGCATGCCCCTTTGTATTTCCACACGCAGGATAGCAGCCTGGGTGCCCGTGAGGTGTATCTGGCCAGATACTGTGTTGTTTTCTAAAGGAAACAAACATTCTAAAGGAAAAAAGATGGGGATAATATTGTGGAGTACTTATGTGGTTATCTGAATCCAGTAATTTCTCCAGTTGGAATCTATTTTTATCTGAGTTTTGAATTGAGAACATATTGGTATAATTAAATGCAACCAAGTAAATTATAATTCCCAGGGGCCTTAGTAAGTGTAGCATTAAACAATAAACTATTTCTTGAATGTGTGTTTAAGAGTCTTAAAACCAAGCTGGAATACTGCTTTACTAGTTCTCATTTTCTTTTAGCTATTTCTATTCCATCGCATTTGGAAGGTGCCAAGACACATTGATGGGACATGATGATGCTGTTAGTAAGATCTGTTGGCATGACAACAGGCTATATTCTGCGTCGTGGGACTCTACAGTAAAGGTTTATTTGTAATTTTTAACTTCTAGTGCTTGGACATAGAAATATCGTCAACTGTGCAACTACCTGTTAGTGCATTGTGACTTCACTCTTTTTCACAAAGTGTGTAATATGAGGATATTGAATATTGTTGCCTTTGTTTGAAAAATTATGAGCCTCTAATATAGTAGCTGCACATAATATATGGCATGATTTCTGCACAATGTGTTCTGCTAGATATTGAATACATTCTATAGAAGAGTTGTAGAGAAATATACAGGAGCAGCCCCTCATAACTGACTTGATTGGAACAAGCAGTTAATCAGAACATGTCAATTTAAAGTGAAGAATCATTAAAAAAAATATCTTATTTAAGCTTAAAACTTGCAAATGCACTCATTCATCATTGTTTGATCTCTGGCTTTCCTGTGTAAAACACATCAGTATTCATCATTTTCAGTTTCCAGTAAGAACTTAGAAAAAAGCAAGAACCTACAACAAACAGAATTCCCATTGGAATTCTTCAGGGTTTTTTTCCTCCATTTTTTAGATAAATTACTTGCCTGACTTAATTTTAGTACATTTTTTGGTGGGGGACTTCTTTTCTGAGTATTCTCAGAACATTTATAGACACCACCAGGCTTCTGCACTCACATTTCCTTAGTTCATACAATACTTAAGTCACATAATTCCAGCAGCAGGTGCAAGGATGGAAACAGACACAGGCACCACTGACTGTGAGCAAGCTCACCTGGGATGGAAGCAGGGGATTGGGCAGGGGGAGCTGGAGCACTGTCAGCTTAGCTTCACTGGCAAGTGCGTCCAGTGGAAGCTGGTCAAGAGGGTTTTTCCTGAATGCATTGGAAGTGATTTTATATTAAACATTGAAAATACCTTCTGCACTGTGTTTATCCTAGGTGTGGTCTGGTGTTCCTGCAGAGATGCCAGGCACCAAAAGGCACCAGTTTGACTTGCTGGCTGAGCTGGAACATGACGTCAGTGTGAGTACCAACTAAACAAACCGTGGAGAAAGCGGAGTGGAACACTCTGGGGTGGGAGTGGGAAGGAAGTTCTGGATTTTGTTTATCCTTTTGCTTTTATTTTGTTTAGTGCAGATTAGAGTTCAAATTTCAGATCTGTTCTTTGATTTGGTTCTTTAGGTTCCAAGTCTTCCATTTTTTTCTTCCCTAGTTAGCTTCTTTGCACATTTCCTGAAAATCAGATGCCATCCAAATAATTTCTAAAATATTTCTGAGCATGCCATTTAATTTTTGGATAGCCTCAAATTATTTGGGCAGGTGATGGGTAGCCCATCATATTCCAGGTGTTCTGACCCAGATGGTGGAACTGACCATTTCTTATAGGAAATACCATCCTGTAGTTGAGGGCAGGGACAGATGGCCAAATATACGTGACCTGCTGGCCAAGACAGCACTTAGTTCTCCGTCTCTTTTCACTGGGTCACCCCACTGCCTCCTAGGCTGTGGTTTACACGGCTCTTTCCCCTAGAGAGATTTGCATCTTAATTTTCATGGTCTTCAGATTAACTGAGGTTGAGAAATAGCAATTCCAAGATGGTGTGCAAGTGTGACTGTGAGAGCCCCTGCCCCATGAGCCCTCAGAGGTCCTGGGTCCACTGGCTGCTGCAGGCAGTTTGGCACTGCACTGCAATCTGGTACTCAGTTATCTTTCTGAGATGATCAGTTTAAGACTATTTTGAAACAGCATTACATTTACCCTTACATTTTCATCTCTCTCTGTATTCACTAGCCTATGGAAATTTTTACTGTATCTTGAAAGAAATTATTCAGCAGGATGATGCTGAAACACATGAGCGTTAGCTGCATCGGCATGCTGCACAATGGTTTAATCCATACTATTTAATCGCGTATTTAGTCAGCCTAGGGGAACAGAGCTGGTGATCGTGAATCTAAGTGGAAGATTTATCACTGTTTTCTTCCTTAGGTAGATACAATCAGTTTAAATGCTGCAAGCACACTGTTGGTTTCAGGCACCAAAGAAGGCACAGTGACTATTTGGGACCTCAGTACAGCCACTTTATTGCACCAGATTCCATGCCATTCAGGGACTGTGTGTGATACTGCTTTTAGCCCAGGTAGGCCTTATCCTTTTTTTTTTCTTTTGTTTGTTTTTAATGATTTATTTGAAAAGCAGAGGGAGAAATAGAGCAAATGAGCAAATGAGCTTGCATCCACTGGTTTACTCCCCAAATGGCCTCAAGCCAGCAGCATGGAAATCCATCTGGTCTTCTACCTGGGTACAAGGGCCCAAGTACTAAAGCCATCTTCTGCTTTCCCAGGTACATTAGCAGAGAGCTGGATGGGAAATGAAGCAGTCAGGAATTGAACTGGTGCCCACATGGGCTTAACCCATGCACCACAACACTAGCATGGTATTACCTTTTAATGTAGCTATCAGGTAAATTGGAATTTTAAAAAGGTTTTTGCCTATAGCTGATGCTGCTTCATTCCAAGATACAAATGCTTTAAAGTACACTCATACTGTAAAAAATGGAATAAACAGATAAGTTTGGTGCAAAAAAACTTGAAATCCATGAATGAGCCTTTGTACCTGATAGAAAAGCAAGGTAGATATTGTTTGATTCCTGAACTGATTGAAGAAGTTAACTGAGAAGACGTAAATGAACTCAGACCTGAGGGTCATCTCAGTGTGTTGGAGAGGCACAGAGCCTTTCAGTGAGAGTACAGTTATTGCTTAAGTACAGGGAGCTCACAGAAAGGGAGTGGAGCAGGCCACTGGACTCGCAGGTACCATCTCAGAATCTACTGTGCACTGCGCTCTGAGGCTCGCGCCTGAGGCTGTCTCGCCCCGTGTTGCAGATAGCCGCCACGTCCTCAGCACGGGAGCAGACGGCTGTCTTAATGTGATTGACGTGCAGACAGGGATGCTCATCTCCTCCATGACGTCAGACGAGCCCCAAAGGTACGGTTCCTGTCTTGCCACATGAAGAGGCCTACAGACGCGTTCGTGATCACTGCACTTGGCCTGATTTGGCCGGCTCAACATGGCCCTTCCTTTGTGGTGATGGAATGATTTCTAAATTATTCCTGCAGGTGCTTTATCTGGGATGGAAATTCCATTTTATCCGGAAGTCAGTCTGGTGACCTGCTCGTCTGGGACCTCCTTGGAGCAAAAATCAGTGAGAGAATACAGGGCCACACAGGTAGGCAGTTACCACAGCTGTCCTCTTCTGTGGGCCTAGGGTCCTGAGCTCGGACTGCCTTTTCTATCACAGAGCGCTCTTGTTAGGCAGAAAGCACCCCGTGTGTTCTCCCTGCGGTAAACATTTCCTTCTGTCGTCATGGTTGGCTAGGTGAGCCGCCTCGGGGTGTAGATTTGTGTTGACAGGTACCTGACTCAAAGAATCATAATATGCAGTAAAATATATGTACATATATAATACAGCAAAAAGACACAAGTAATCAATGAACTCTGAGGCTTCCTCAGAGTACCTCCTTGTGTGTGTGCTGTTGCGTGCTCTCTGATGGGTAAGGCAGATGTGTGTGAAAGTGTGACATACAAAGTATAATAGAAAACTTCTGCCCCTTTGGTTTTTATTCAGGAGTGTATCTTGCAGATGTTTTGCTCGCTTTCCTCTTCATCGGCTGGAGGACAGTTTTTAATTCTAGTATCTGTTAGCTTTGATTCCCTCCAAAGTGCAAAATGTCCCCCTTCATTCTCTTCCCTGGCTGCTGCTTACCACTGTTTTTTCTTACATTTGTACTTTAGAAATTATGTATCTATACCTTTTCCCCACCTCAGCTAAGTGGCTCTAGTTAACATATGACCCCTTCTAATGGAAAAGTAAAATCAGCACTTCCACCAACTGGGTACCTTCTCTCCCCCTCCTGCCTCGTTTTATTGCAGTCTGTTCTGTATCCATAATTCCCAGGTTTTACCTCTATATTAACATTTAGATGGTTTCTTACAAGTTTGTTATACCAAGTAGTTATTTTTAATTATACCAGGACCTTACAATAGAGATAAGACAGAGTAGAACTTTGTGCATTTTTGCTTGCTATCATTCATTAATTCTAGTAAGAGCTGTCTTTGGGTGCCCCAGTTGACTAACGAAAACGTCTTCTCTCTCAGGTGCTGTGACCTGTATATGGATGAATGAACAGTGCAGCAGTATCATCACTGGAGGAGAAGACAGACAAATTATGTTCTGGAAATTGCAGTATTAAGTGCCTTTTCCTGTCTTGCATATTCAAGTTGAACTTTAAAAATATTTTTAAACCAAACTTTTAAATGAACTGGTGAATGTGCAAGGATAGAAACTAGAAGTTTTACCACATGGAAATTTGTGTGGTTTTAAACTTTGTAAATCACGATGACCTCACTGAAAGCCACTAGCTGCCATCCTCTAAGGCAGTATTTAGGGGAAGCATCTCGTTTGTAAGGCAGAGGGTCATACCACTGTGATGGTTAGGAGACAGGCCTGCATGGCAGAGTAGCTCAGAGCTACTAAGCTGGGCAAGCACCAGGTAGCCGTGAACAACTGAGCTTTCCAAGGAAATGTGCAGTATTCGCTGCTGCTTCTTGAGAGCCTGTTTTGTCTTCCTAATCTACCACAACTGCTGCCCACCAGGTTTTTAGGTATGTGTGTTTTCACGGAGCGGCTACTTTGTATAATGCTCTACCCAGATTCTGAGAACCTGGGAAGGATCAGAAGTTCTCATAACAGTAAGGTTACTGTGTATGGGAACGGTTTGTATTTCATTAAACTATTAAATGCTCATCTTTTCTACATTAAAAATATTTTTCTGTAACGAAAGCAGTTTTCATTTTCTTAAAAGCTACTAATTAAGAAAACAAGTATTGATCCTTCAAGAACACAGTTCCACTACTTTTAAAACTAAGAACTCAAGTCTAGATAGCAAGATAATCAACGTGAAATGCTTTGATTGCTTTTCTAAATCTCAAAACAAGGTCCATAGTACGGCAACAACACTGTTCTTTTATATTCAATTTTTAATACATACACCCATATTTTTGTCACATAATTACTACAGTACCTTACAGGCAGCTGGGATGGGGGAGAAACACTACAGACCATGGTAGTAAGAATTTCTCAGACTGTTTTAAGTGTCTTAAAACACTAACTAGAGAAATCGAGATGCACACGTGTGAAGCAGCTCCCAGCTGGAGGCACTTCAGTCTCACGCCTGAGGGCTGGTCTCTGCTTTGGGAGATGACTGTTTCCCTGTCTTCAAGATCAAGTACGGCTGTGTGGAAGTTCTGTCAGTGGCTTCCAAATGATGCAACAACAGACTAAAATTTCCCTTTATACATATTTAATTAGGATAGGCATAAACCAAAACAGAAAAAATAAAGTGTCACCGTCACTTTGTTTACAGGGAAGAGTCAGGAAAACATTTTAAGATTATCCCAAAGTAGGTAGGTTACATAATGTTAACATTCAGATGCCAAAATTAAGTATTCTACTTAATCTACAAATGAAAAGAGGAATCAAAAGTTGATCCCGTTTAGTATAAGAAATTTTACATTAAATATAGAGCGCTTTGTTTCTCAGGAAGCAGTACTGGCAACTTGGAGAAGAAAGATGTTTCTGTTACGCGATGACTAGAAAGTGTCAAATACAACCAAGCAGCTATGCTATAGCTCAGAAAGTACTATTAACCTCTTTTGGGCTAGTGCACATTTCAGTTTAATACAGAACTACATTTTGAGTTTTAGGAAGGCAGCAATAATTATATTTTGGCTTTTGTTCTAGAGCTTAACATAGTTAAGGCGACAGTTGAAGCATATTAGTGAAGGTAGTTAAAATTTAATGACAATCATAATCTCTTGCGACCTACATAAACTGTATAATGCTTACATGGAATGAAACCAGCATTACGTAATTGGTGTTTGCATACATACAGAGGGAGAAAAAACCTACCAAAGGCAATCACTCTAAATGTACTAACGTACATGTTAATGCAGATATACCATAGAACTAAAATGACATGAAGAGCACTACTCATTACCTAGAAGAAAGGTAACTGGTTCTCATACAAAGCTAAGCTGGCATCAATCTCCCTCAACACAATGGCTTAGAAAAGCATCAGGTTTCCAGTAGAGAAACTATTCTAGGAAAGTCAGTCAATCTTGTGAAAGTTTCACAGCTGTAAAACCAGGCTAAGGCTACAACTACCGTGAAGTCTGAGGAGACCAGATGAACCAGTAGATTCCCAGCCATAACTGAGACGGGACGGTCCTCATGCAGCATATGCTCCCTGGCTCCGGGAAAGCTTCGTGTGCATAATACAGGAGTAGTTGAGAAAGGAAACTGGAGACGCTCAGCTGTTTCCATTGTGTCCTAACTGTTAAACTTCAGGGATGGTGTGGTCCATCAGGCTTTTCATGATGCTTGGCGCCATCCTACAAGAGAATCATTTTCATCATACACTCAGGTTCTGTTTGTTTTGAAAATGTGCTAATCCAGGAAAACGCCATCTAATCAGCCTCTTTGGGTATCTAGTAAGACTGAGGGAGAAGGGGAAGGTCATTCAAGTGAGTTCAGAGATAAGGGTCTCTGGTCTTCTAGTCAGTAGTAACAGGCCTTCTTTATCCCGGCTAGAAAAGTTACTAGGTAAGGTAAAAAGTAAGTCCTCGTATAGTAAGGCTGGTGATTAATGAAAGAAAAATGACACGGCTGTGGTTAACTACAGAGGCACATGGGGAAGGAGGGACCGGTTTCCAGTGGTTGCAGAGAAGAACTCAAGAAAATGCTCCAAGAGTAGCTAAGAAGGGTTATATTTATGAGTGTTTTAAATTTCACTTCCACATTCATGTTAATGATTCTGAAACGATTCCAAGCTGGCATGGCAAAAACACTGACAGAAATTAGGATCTGAAAAGCTCTGGAGAAGTAACTCTTAGCCCTTTTCTGTTCTCACACAGCTTTCCAATCCTCAGTTCCTAGGGACGGCTGCACTACCCAACTCTCACCTGTCCTCAGAGGCGTGGGAGGGAATAGAAACCGGTACTTGTAACATCCCACAGGCAAGAATTCTCCATCCTGAACCACCATCACTAGACTTCCAGGGTGCAGTCATTTGTTCAAAGCAGACAGCAGGCCAACCTCTGTCCACTTCTGCTTGGACACCCTCTTTCTACTAGGCAATGTAAAAATTTAGCTAGAGGGGCTGCCACTGTGACATAGTAGACTAAGCCTCTGCCTACAGCACTGGCATCCCAAATGGGCACCAGTTTGTATCCTGGCAGCTCCTCTTCTGGTCCAGCTCTCTGCTAGGGCCTGGGATAGCAGCACTTATTGGGCCTCTGCAGCCATGTGGGAGACCTGGAAGTGGCTCCTGGTTCCTGGCTTTGGATCGGTTCAGCCTTAGCCATTGTGGCATTTAGGGAGTGAGCCAGTGGATGGAAGACCTTTCTATCTCTCTGTAACTTTAGCTCTCAAATAAAAAAAAAAAAAAAAAAAAATTGGCCAGTAATAGGATGAATTTCATTCCATACTTGGAAGCTGTGGAAGAGTCATCCTTACCAGCCAATCCTTGGATGTAAATAATTTATTCTTCAAATTTTTAAATAAATGTATCACTCCTTAGCAATAAACCAAGCTTTGGGAATTAAAGAAAAGTGCAATGCTTACATAAGTCATACAACTATATGTAGTATTTGAAGACTTGTGTACTTACCGTTTAATAATATGTTCAAAGATAAAAGCAGGCATGATTGTGATGGTAACTACAGTCCCAGATGTTGACAGTATGTCTGCAATTTGAGAGTCCTGATGAAAACACATAATGAAAATTAATTTTACTAAGCCTTTAATAAAAAAAATTATTCTTGGTAAAGAAATATACACCATACCTCTTGTTATGTTAGGCTAGCATGTCTAAAACACTAAGGTATTTGTTATTTTTCTAGTTTTCCTTACCAAGTTTTATTCTATAGAAAGCAGTTTTATAGATAGTAACAAAACTGAGTTGAATATATTAGAAAAAAGCCACATTTTCATTATTTCAGGTAATATTGTGGTACTGTATATGGGGAAAATTATCTTTTCTGTTAACCATGTATGCTCAGCCAAACTTTATGACATAGGCAGGTCTTAATTAACATATTTTGACCTTAAGACAGACTTAAGGGAATTCAAAATGTTCGTGCAAGTGTATTATTCAATCTGTAGGGACTTAAAAACTTTTAATTCCATTTTCCCACAAAAATATTGAAGTGCCCTCATATTTAGGGATTTTAGGAGGAGAAAAAACTAAAAGGTATGAACGTGATCCAAAACTTTTACTCATTTCCTATATTCCTATACTGAAAAACAGCTGGGGAAATATTCATTCAGAAAGTCATGGAAATCACTGCTCATGTCCTTCACCAAAGTTCACTCCAGGGACTTCACAGAACATTTTTGTCTACCACTCCTTTTTAAAAATAATTTATATATAAGGTGAACAAATTTCATGTATTTCATATATACACATTTAGGAGCACAGTCATACTTCCCACCCTTCTTCCTTTTTTAAAATTTTTACAATGACATACTTTATTTTATAATCATAAACTTAACCCTCCAGTACTTAAAGAATTTAATAGAAGAAAAAAAATCACTTTTCCTCAACAGTAGAAACAAGGGCTATAAATAATAATCAAATCTCAAAATGTCAATTTTGATCATATACATTTTTTGTAATCTATTATAACAGATTGGGGAAACACTGTCTGTCTGAGACTGGCTTATTTCACGAAGTATAATGCTTTCCAGTTGCATCCCTTTTGTTGATAAAGATTTTGTTCTTCGGGGCCGGCACTGTGGTACAGTGGGTTAAAGCCTTGGCCTGCAGCATAGGCATCCCATGTGGGCCCCGGTTCTAGTCCCAGCTGCTTCTCTTCCGATCCAGCTCTCTGCTATGGCCTGGGAAAGTAGTACAAGATGACCCAAGTCCTTGGGGCCCTGCATCCACATGGGAGACCTGGAGGAAGCTCCTGGCTCCTGACTTCGGATTGGCACAGCTCCAGCCGTTGCGGCCATCTGGGGAGTTAACCCGCAGATGGAAGACCTCTATCTCTGTCTCTACTCCTCTCTGTAACTCTTTCAAATAAATAAAATCTTAAAAAAAAAAAAAAAAGATTTCATTCTTCTTTATGGTTCAGTAATATTCCATAGTGCATATATACACCACATTTTCTTTCTGTAGTCATGGGTTGATGGACATCTGGGTTGATTCCCTATCTTAGCTATTGTGAACTGTGATGCAATAAACATGGAGGTGCAGATAATTCATATGCTGATTTCATTTCATCTGGATAAATTCCCAGGAGTGGGACGGCCGTCATGTGGTAGCTCTGTTTTCAGATTTCTGATACCCCTCCTCTTACAGGAATGATAAATCTAGGTAACAGCAGAGAGAACCTGGTAACAGCCAAAGAGCTCAGCTAGCTTATGCCAGAGCCCCAAATCTGTCTCATGTCTCCCCTTGTCCACTTAGTTTCTCTATTCTGGAAGTATGAAAACATGTCAAAGAAAAAGACACTTGCAAAATGACCGTGAGGCACAAGGTCTGTCACGTACCTTCAATCCAATGACATTCTGGCCGTTGATCTCACAGATGTTATGTTCCGTGAGGAGACCGTTTCTGGCTGCAGAACTGTCTTTCACTATGGATGTTATTTTCCCATTTTTAAAGATAAAGCCAACATGTCCAGTACTGTCCTTATGCATAGTAATTGTCCGCTCAAAAGGCCTATAAACATGGGTTCAATTAAAAATTTAAATTTAGGATAAACATTTTAATAGATTTCATATGCAATAAGCTCTGCCATACTGGGTACTTGTTACAATAAAGGCAAAATGTTTCTAGTAAGAGCAACTTACTATAAGTGAGAGCATACATTCACAGACTACTTTTATTGTTTTAAAAGGTGGTTTTTTGTTTGTTTTAGATCTCTTCATTATGGTTTGACTCATTAATCAAGACTTCTTTTGGGGCCAGCGTTGTGGCCTAGCGGGTTAAGCCGCTGCCTGTGATGCCAGCATCCCATATGGGCACCTGGTTCATGTACTGTCTGCTCCACTATCTGTTGCTCTGCCTTTCAATTGAAAAAAATTTTTTAAATTAAAAATTATAAATAACTACAAAATAGCACCTTCCACCCATAAGGCCAGATCTCATTTTCAGGACTCTGAACCCACTTAGTTCTACACAGGCTCTGACCCTCACAAGGAATCCTAACACTGTATGTAAAGGCCCTAGACTGTATGCTTTAGCAGAGGACTTTGGGTAAGTGAGACCAGAGATGTCATGCTACGTAACTACTTTTCCAACACCTTTTGTTTTCTAAAGAGAATGGAGAATACCTACTGAGAGGTCAAATTCTTATAAGCTCAGAAGTAAGGTGTTTTTGTAAAATCAAAATGCTATTTAAAAAAAAATAAAACTACGTAAGAACCACCTGTACCATCTGCAAGACTGTAAGGCTCATCAGTAACATTTGATAGTTTTCTGGAACAACACACTGTATTCACAGAATCCTAAAGCCAAAGAAAATTTCCATTTGAACTGTTTTTAGCAGCAGCTTACCTGTCACGAATGGTCATTGTAATCTTCTCTCCAAAAGCCTGTTTGAGCACCTTGTGAGCTTTATCGGAGCTCCAGCCTGCACAGTTTTCACCATTGATCTGGAGTACCTGGTCGCCAAATCTCAAACCAACCAATGAGGCTGGAGAATTTGCCTGGACTAGCTGAACAAATATACCCTAGATAATAAGGAAATAACTTTGGTCATTTACCACTGCTGTAATAATGGTTTTAACACATTGGAAAATTAGGAAACAGCTGTTTGTAGTTGAAATCTAATAACCAAAACTAAAGAGAAAAAACAATAGGAATATAATGTGCTCTCACTCCCTTAAAAACAAACTGAAGAATTTATCAAGGCAAAGCCCCCAGAGAATAATCAAAAAAAATGAAACTCAAATCATGATGCACTAGGTCAACTTCAGTCACCCCTCCACCACCTTGAAATAAAAAGACTAAGGAAATAAAGTAGGATAACTAAATCAAGTGTCTGAGTCCAACAATGCCAAATAGGTATAAGCACATTATCATAATTGCAAGGGTACCAGACCAAAGGACTGCAGGCCTTATGTGGCTCATGGGCCAGATGTTTCCCATGGAAGGTGGGAAGTGAATTAAGTGTTGGAAGTCAGGTGAATTCTTTTACAGCTTAAAAAAATGATGGTTTAAGGTCATACTTCTACCTTTTGAGCTGAAGGAATCGATTCCTTTACTCATTTGCTAAGTTATACAGAATCAAGAAAGATTACAGAGTTTAACAGCCCAAAATGATAAACATATTAACCTCCACATGAGCCTTTGTGAAGAATCCATTATGGGGGCTGGCACCGTGGCATAACAGGTAAAATTAATGCTGGTGGTGCCTGCACCCCATATGGATGCCGGTTCATGTCCTGACTGTCCCACTTCCAATCTGGCTCACTGCTAATGGCCATCACACATTCTTCTCATTGGTTAACCTTGGGGTAGTAAGAAAGAACTAGGTGGCATTCCATGACGTGGGCCAGTGTGCACTGGCTGGAGCACAAATCCACTGCCAAGATACCTACAATGGGGGTCAGCACTGTGGTGGGCTAAAGCACCACCTGTGACTCTGGCATCTCTTATGGGAGTGTCAGTTCACGTTCCGTCTGCTCCACTTTTGGTCCAGCTCCCAGCTAATGCGCCTGGGAGAGCAGCAAAATATGTCCTAAATATTTGCATGCACAAGGGAGACTCAGAATTTCACACTCCTGGCTTCGGTCTGACCTAGTCCCAGCCACTGCTGGGGAGGTAAACCAGCAAATGGAAGCTCTCTACCTCTGTGTGTATGTGTCCCTCTCTCTATCTCTTGCCTATCAAATAAATAACAAAAAACAAAATAGAGAATTTAATAGATAAGAGCTAAAACCTTAAATCGGGGTAAAGATACAGCACATCTTTCACAATTCTAAAGGTTTCCTCAGGAATAAGCCTATTTCATTTCTACAGTATGTTAAGATGAGAAGTAAAGTAATGGTAGCCCTAATTAGAAATTTTTGCTCAGAAAATAACCTATCAAATTCAAATTGGAGGGGACGGTGCTATGGCCCAGCGGGTTAAGCCACAGCCTGCAGCACCAGCATCCCATATGGGCACCAGTTCGATTCCTGGCTGCTCCACTTCCAATCCAGCTCCCTGCTAATGGAGCTGTATGGGAAAGCAGCAGCAGATGTCCCAAGTGTTCGGAACCCTGTACCCACATAGGAGACCAAGATGAAGCTCCTGGCTTCAGCCTGGCCCAGTTCTGGCTGTTGCAGCCATTTGGGGAGTGAACAAGCAGATAGAATCTCTCTCTTTGACTCTGTGTCTCCCTCTCTCTAACTCTGCCTTTCAAATAAATATATAAAAAAATTAAAAGATGGAAAAACAAGGCAATAAAAAAAACCATCTCAGAAGTTAAATCACCATCATTTGCTTTAAAAATGTAAACACATTCTCACTGAATCAACTGTTTAATTTATATATGCTGACCCATTTCAATGCCAGAATTCTATTATCTGATTTAATTATAAAATACATAGACCATTGAACTTTATTTCAGTTGAAGAATTCAAAGCAAGGCAAAACACAAAGTCATACAAAGGAAGGCGTCTGGAAACTTCAGTTCTGCTTCCTCAAAACAGAGCATCTCTAAACAAACTTGGGATAGCAGATTTAGAATATTCTCAATTACGAGTACGCTACTGTAACTAATTAAAGCATTTCCATTTCAAATTATTTTAACATCACTTAATATTCTCTAACTACTCAGGTAAATTCCGATAGGTATTACAAATACTTACATTATCTATTGATTTAAGCCTGAGTCCAATTTTTCCATCTTGATCCTTACATAAAATGACTTCACGAATCCCTTGTTTAATTTCTGCTCTGCGAATCCCAACATCATTTCCAGTTACAGGAGCCACCATATAGTTCACACTGGAAGGTCTTGCTACCAACTGCTGACAAAACATATATGTGTCAATATTTAGAAGCACTCACTTAAAAAAATCTACAATGGTAATTAGCAGAACATACTCAATTGTGGTTTTCCAAAAAGTAATATACCAAGTTCCCTCAGATAAAGTTGGATTTCTGCAAATATGACACTGTTTTTTTGTAATTCTTTCAATCACTGCCATACTTAGCATCTCCATTAGATTCATGGCTTACTCTGTCTTCTCTTTCAAAATCACTGGCATTGGTCTCATGTGTACAGTCACTAACTGCAGAACGATGGTTTAGTCAACAATGGACCCCATACACAATGGAGATCCCATAAAATTTTATTGGCTGGTGATGTCATAGTTTTCTGATCTTGTATAAGTATACTATCTATGATGAACACATAATGATGAACCACGTAACAGCATGTCTCAAAATGTATCCCATCATTAAGCAAGTAATGACTACTGTGGTTTGTCTTCATCTCAAATGTATTATCTTAGACTTTAACAGCCATAGTATACTTCTGAAAGACATTTCCACAGGTTTCTTTTATACAGTTTAATCTTTGATAATTTATCCATTCAGAGTTTGTCTAAAAGGAGCAACATTCTTATCTCACAATGTTAGTGAGGATTAAAAGAAAAGGGCATGTTATGGGGCTTGCGCCATGGCACAGTGGGTTGATCTTCTGCCTGTGGTGCTGGCATTCTATATGGATGCCAGTTCTAGTCCCAGCTGCTCCTCTTCCGATCCAGCTCTCTGCTGTGGCCTGGGAAAGCAGTAGAAGACGGCCCAAGTGCTTGGGCCCTGCACCCCTGTGGGATCCCCAGAAGAAGCTACTGGCTCCTGGCTTCAGATCGGCACAGTTCCAGCTGTTGTGGCCATTTGGGGAGTGAACCAGCAAATGGAAGACATCTCTGCTTCGCCCTCTCACTGTCTGTAACTCTACTTCTCAAATAAATAAAATCTTTAAAAAAAAAAAAAAGGAAAAGGGATATAAGTTCTAACACACATGAAGTATCGAATACTTTTTCTCATCTCCTTTAATAACCATCTACGAATTAGAAATCAGACACAAAAGGAGAATGCCCCAGAATGGCTATATACTACGGAAAACTCAAGTTTTCTTAAGAAAAAAACATTTTTTAATAAAAAATTGTATTTACTTAGAAGCATTCAAAATGTCAAAACAGCTGCAACCTTTTTTTTTGTTTTGTTTGGCAATTAGAGTGGTATTCAGTTAACAGAAAAATTATTTCGTAGAAGCTGCATCAGATAACTGAAGATGAAAAAAAATGCCATCCCCATATATAACTAAATTGTGCTGTGCACGAACAAGAACCTGCTTTAAATCCCCATGCCAATTTACAACCTCCATACTGTACCAGGCAAGGTTAGTGGCTACTGAAAAACCACCAGGACAGAGCTATCAAAAGACACATTTGGTAGTGTGTTAACATACAAAAAAAAAAAAAAATGACACTGTACAGTTTAAAACAAATCTTACATAGCCTCACATTTCATTTTTTCTTCAAAAGGAGCTGTATATATGGGTCAATTAAATGCTTTATAGACAACGAAAAAAAACTGCGTTAGAACCAACTTATTCGTCTCATCATGTTCACATTCCTCTTTTTCCCACTCCTTTCAGCCCTGACAACCCCCTTTTTTGCTGCACCAGGGTTCCCTTTAGCTTGAGACGCGGCAACATCCTTTTCACACTTTTCCTTCAGCTCAGCAGCCTGCTTTCCATAGGGCTGCTTGCCCTCGGCAGCAGTGTCACCGCACAACTCTCCCAGTTTCTTTGCAACCTCACCAATGGACAGGCCAGGATGTTCTCCTTTGATTTTTGGGTGATACTAGGAACAGACCAAGAAAAAGGCTGAAGGATGCCTCCTGGGTGCATTGGGATTCTTGAACTTCTTTTTTGTCTCCCCTTTAGGAGGGTTGTAGGTTTTCACTTCTTTCATAACGAGCCTTGTCCGCCTTTACCATGTCTTCAGGTCTTCCCTTCTCTTCAGCAGATGCAGTCCTCCACCTCTCTGAGCATTTCTTAGAAACCTGAGAAGTTGACAGAAGCATCTGGGTGCTGCTTCTTACGCTGCTCCAGGCAAGTCTGCACGAAGAATGCACATGACGACATTTTGCCTCTCGGCTTCGGAGGCCCTCCTTTGTCTATGTTTAGGTCTGTTACCTCAGCGAGGCCGGGAGTTGCTCACTGCCCATCTGGCTGACCCAGCACTGTCTTATGGAGCTCAATGTACTGCAATGGCTGTGAGAGCGGACCCAGACGCAGCCTCCTCACTCTCTCTGTGCTGCTGGTTTCTTGTTGTAAGTGGACTTTCTCCTCAACCAAAAGGCAGTGAGGAAAGGACTTACCAGGGCTTCTTAATTACAATTTGTGATAGGTTAGAAAGATTTTTCAGTAGACATAAAGCTCTAATCTGCCATGAACTGTGATGCTCAGGGCAGCAGTAACAAGAAAGAACCTTCAGATGAAAACATCACAACTTCAAAAATTTACTCCATTAGAATTTATGGTCATTCAAATTGCATATTCTGAAGCCGACAGTCTAACAGCAGCATCTATCACTCATTCACACACTATGATATTAGAAATCAGGACACAATTACAAGATATTATTTATATAGAATTACAAAGGTTCAAAAGAAATTACAGCTATCAGAGACATAAGACAATCAGAAAACAAAATGGAAAAGAAAATTTTAAGAGCCAAATTCATTCTTTAGCTGTAATCCATGTGCTTCAACTTTTATGACTTTTGAATGAGTGAACATTCTGAAGCTGACAGTCTAACAGGAGAAATATACACAAAATCAATAAACAAGGCCAGAGAAATTACTTATGAACGAATCGCAAGCAGAGCACTGTGCTCTTGCTGAGTTGAAAGGACAGAGATGTGAGGTCAGGAAGGCTAAGGCCAGCTGGTGAGGCAGAATTTGGAAAGCAGAGTCTGGAGAGCAGGCAGTTACAGGCACAGCTCCAGGTGACGCTGCATCTGGATGGACAGTAACCCAGGTATGCAGGAGGTGAGAATCCCCAAGGCCAAGCAAAGGATGTTCAGAGATCCAACAGTTCCTGGAGATTACACAGGGCTGGAGACATTCAAGAATCCACAGCCACGGTGGCATCCAGTGCACTCGGTGAAGAACCCGGTGAGGACACACTTTCTTAGTAACAGAATAACAGTCTTACAGAACTAACTCAACAAAGTGTACAGCAAGCCTCTCAGGGTCCGAAGCCAGGAGTCAGCAGCTTCTCCCAAGTCTCCCAAGCAGGTGCAGGGGTCCAAGCACTTGGGTCACCTTCTACTGCTGTCCCAGGCCACAGCAGGGAGCTGAATCGGAAGTAGAGCAGCCAGGATTCGAAGTGGCGCCCATATGAGTTGCCAGCACTGCAGGCAGAGGATTAACCTACTGAGCCACAGCGCTGGCCCAACTAGTGCTAATATTCTTTAAGTCAGGGGTAGGGAAGTCTTTTTCTGCCAAGGACCATTTGGATATTTATAACACTAATCACTGGCTATACAAAATTATCAACTTAAAAATTAATTTAATGAATTTTGAGTACCGCCTATGGTTGCTTTGGAAAGGCCAGACCAAATGATTTTGCAGGCCAGACCTTCACCCCTGCAAAAAGAAACACAGCACGCAGCAATGTAAAGTTCATAATGACCGTCATCCAATTAAAATACTAGGTGGCATCTGAACACGCAGAGAAATGTAACCATAATCAGGGGAAAAATCAGTCAATAACAGACTCCAAAACAGAACAGATCATAAAATGACCAGATTTTAAAGTAGCTACTATAAATATGCTCAATATGCTCATGGACTTAAAGGAAACCATGAATGAAGACAGAAATAGAAGAAATAAGCTAACAAGATTTATATAACTAATCTTTGGCAAGGGTGCCAAGAATATATAATGGGGAGAGGATGGTCTCTTCAATAAATGGAAATGGGAAAACTGGGTATTCACATGCCAAAATCAAAACTTATACCACAGAAGTTAAATCCAAGTGGATTAAAATGTGAAATGTAAAATCCAAAAAGAAAAAATAAATAAATAAGGAAAAACTCCAGGACACTGATCTTAACAAATTTTTGAACTTGACACCAAAAGCACAGGCAAGAAACACAAAAATAAACAAGTGGGACTTTATCAAACTAAAAAACTTCACAGCAAAGAAAGCAAGCAACAAAATGAATGCAACCTATGGAATGGGAGAAAACATTTGCAAATGATGTATTTGATAAGGGCTTAATATCCACAATACATTAGGAGCTCAACAGCAAAAAAAAATCTGATTTAAAAATGGGCAAAACACTCAAATTTTCACAAAGACATAAATGGCCAACTTTTTAACAAGTACTCAACAACATTAATCATCAGGGAAAAGCAAATGAAAACCACACTGAGGTACCACGTCACATGTTAGCATGACTATGATCTGAAAAGACAAGGGCCAGCTTTGTGCGGTAGGGGTAAAGCCACCACCTATTACGCCAGTATCCCACATGAGTACCAGTTTGTGTCCCAGTTGTTCCACTTCCAATCAAGCTCCCTGATCATGGCCTTGGAAAGCAATCGAAGATGGCCCAACTGCTTGGGCCCCTGCCACCCATGTGGGAGATCCAGATGAAGCTCCTGGCTTCCACCTGCTCCTGCTCTGGCTATTGCAGCCATCTGGGGAGTGAACCAGCACATGGAAGATCCCTTTCTGTCTTCGCCTAACTCTGCCTTTCAAACAAAATAAATAAGTAGACAGTGTGTTTCACTTATAAGTAGTTTCTTAAAAAGTTGAAATCGTGGAAGCATAGAGTAGAAGAACGGGTGTCCGGGAACTAACTGGAAGCAGGCAGGCAAGAATAGGGAAATAATAGTCAAAGTACACAAACTTTGTTTCAAAACCGAGAAGTTCTAGGGATCCAGTGTAGAAAATGGTAACTGGAGTTGATACCGTATTACATGGATGAAACTTGCTAGGACAGTAGCTTCAGTGTTCTCACCACACATCAAATATATGGCAACACTGCAAGGTGACAGATGTGTACATTAGCTTGATTATGGTAATCACTTCACAATACATATGCACATCAATACAGCATGTTGTACACCTTGAATTTATACAATTTTCACTTGCCAATCACCACCCAGCAAAGATGAAGTAAGAGGATGGGAGCAAGAATCAGATGAAACAGGAAAACAGGAAACAGGAAAAAATAAAGTACATGAGATGAAGAATCTATTATAAGAGTTAACAGAAATCTTCAGCAACAAATGAAAGAAAAAGGAAAGGCAGGGCACTGAAGAGCCCTAGAGATTCAGATGCCTCAAAAATGGAGGTTTAGGTCACCTACCAAAAAAAAGACAACCAGCTCAAGTACTGGCCAAGGGAAAAGAGAACAAATACATGCAATGAATAAAAGAAGCCATAAAATCTAAGTGAAGCCTTGAGGTCACTATGCTAATCAGAACAGCTATGACAATCTTCTCTGCTTTAGTTGCAGAGTTTCTATAAACACAGCCAATTAATCCTTTTTGTTTCTCATGCTTGCTTTATACATGAATTGTTAGTGGTTAACTTACATTTTTGTCTCAAGTTCAAAGTATTAGCTGGAAATCTGAATACTTAGGGTAGTAATTAAATCACATCATAATCAACAGCATAACCACCGTCAAGAAAGGGCCTTGACAGCACTGTGCCTTTCTGGAGAAAGGCTGAAAGCAATGCCTTTTATGTCAACAGTCAACACTTGATTTTGTAAACTCCAGAGTTGAGAATAATTTTTCATTTTTAAAAGTTGTAAATAATCAAGAATATGGGATAGAGATCATGATTTATCATTAAAGCCTAGAAGGGTATTATGAGGCCATTTACAGAACAAGTTTTTTTGAATTTTCATTTTATGAAGAGAACTGCATCTTTTAAGAGGAAAGTATAAGGTTTTTATTGTTGCCCTTTGAACTTCAAGTGTCTGTAGAAGTGTGTGGACAGAGCACAAGGGATCACAGAAGTAAGTTGTACTGTCAGCTCCGACCTCTACCTGGTGACGCTGGAGTATGACTGCACAAGTTACATTTTCCTCTGACTGTGTGCTTGGTTAGCTTCCACTACTTGAGCATTAGAGACTAAATAAGCGCCTTATTCCGTCCTGTTTGCTTTCTGTTCCTGTCAGCATGCCTGAGCCTGACCTGAGAGCAGGAATTGCTTCCAGTCTCCAGCTTTTACTGACACTCCTAGAGCCAGCCTCAATACAGCTCCACGAAGTACTAGAACTACACTCCAAGGTCGGAGTCCCAGCTCCGAGTGGCTCTCTCCCTAAACTTCTCCACACTGTGGTCTAACCTCTTCCTTGTGTTACTGTTGTTCTAGAGGAAGCAGCTACACTTTCTGTCACTACATATGCATTCCACGTTTGCTTTTTCATTTCTTCAGCCTTTTTATCTAATTTCTTAAATTACCTCTTCAAAAAAACCTACCATTTGTTTTCCCACTTGGATCCCTAATGACACAAGTTTTCAATAAACACTGGGTAAAGCCGGTGCTGTGGCTCACTAGGCTAATCCTCTGCCTGCGGCGCTGGCACACTGGGTTCTAGTCCCAGTTGGGGCACCAGATTCTGTCCCGGTTGCTCCTCTTCCAGTCCAGCTCTCTGCTGTGGCCTGGGAAGGCAGTGGAGGATGGCCCAAGTGCTTGGGCCCTGCACCCACATGGGAGACCAAGAGGAAGCACCTGGCTCTTGGCTTCGGATCGGCGCACTGCGCCAGCCGTAGAGACCATTTGGGGGGTGAACCAACAGAAGGAAGACCTTTCTCTCTGTCTCTCTCTCACTGTCTAACTCTGCCTGTCTAAATAAACAAACAAACACTGGGTAAATAAACAAATGTCAGGTACTTTATTAAGCACTAGGTAAGAGAAACATGGAGCCTATATTCATGAAGTATTTTACTGTGTAGGTGCCATAAAGTACTATGATCTTACAGCAATAATCATAATATCAGATTTGTTTACGTCTGAAATCTAATTACAAGGAGCTTCAGATTTCAGAAAACGCTAACAGATTGAGTCACAAAAAACTTACCTGTATTTCAGAATGGTTAATCTAGCAGCAGCTTAGCATTGTTTGAAATAAGTTACTAGAGGCAGTGTACGAAACTATCATAATAATCTCGGTTAGAAATACAAAATCCTTAATACAGTTATAGGAGTAGAGGATAAAATGAACCCAACAAACATGGCAAACAGAGTGGTAAGTTCTCAGTAACTGATGAAATGCCAAACACAAAGGGGAATTGACAAGTAAAAAGCACCTGAACCTTTAAATCCTAATAAAGTTAAAACTGTTAATAGCACAAAAGGAATCAGACTATGTAAGAAGTGATATCAAGAAAGAAGTCTAAAATTCCTGAGAGGTTAATGCTAAAGTTATAAAGGTGGGAGTTAGCCACAAAAAGTAGAGCTTATATCTACATGCAAACCATGATTTTATATAATTCAAAATTAATTTCACATCATTAATTATACATACCCCCTGAACTGGTGCTCCAGAGACCACTGCCATATTTGCACGTACTTCTTCTTCATTTAAACTCAGGCCCATGTATTGAGAAAGTTCCGGATACAGTTTAGGATAAAGATCTAATATAAATAAATGAAAGAATCAATGAATAAAAAAAGCACTTGCAGAATACTCCAAAAGAAAACTACTGTATCACAGGCTTCTACTTGAGCTTAAAAAGTTACATTTAAGTTAGAAAATACAGAAAGGACTGAAAGATATTTGCAAGGGTTCCTCCTCATCTTTACAGCAAGAAATGGAAAATATAGAAAATGTTTAAAGTCAAAGTCATAAAACATGAACACATTCAGACGTCCAAATACACTCATCCTTCAGTATTCAGAGAGAACTGATTCAAACAAACAAAAATATCGCAATTTTATAAATTTATTTAGCACCCTATCCTGTTAGGAATCTTAACTGGGCCAATGTTGGGACCCAGCCATTAGGACCCAGCAGGTTATGCTGTTGCCTGTGATAATGGCATCCCATACGGGCACTCGTTCAAGTCTAGCCTGTTCTGCTTCTGATCCTGCTAATGCACCTGGCAAAGTAGCAGAAAAGGGACCAAGTACTTGGGTCCCGGCCCTGAAATGGGAGACCCAGGCAGAACTCAGGGCTCCTGGCTTTGGCCTGGCCCAGTCCTAGCCATTGCAGTCTTTTGGGAAGTGAACCGGGGGATAAAAGATCTCCTCACAGACCACACCCCCTCCCCCAAATCTTTCTGTAACTCTGCCTTTAGAATAAATAAATTCTTAAAAAAAAAAAAAAAGTTAACCACCTTCCAGTGAAATTTTAGAAATAGTATTTTAAAAAGATTAACTGGCCGGCGCCGCGGCTCACTAGGCTAATCCTCCGCCTAGCGGCGCCGGCACACCGGGTTCTAGTCCCGGTCGGGGCGCCGGATTCTGTCCCGGTTGCCCCTCTTCCAGGCCAGCCCTCTGCTGTGGCCAGGGAGTGCAGTGGAGGATGGCCCAGGTGCTTGGGCCCTGCACCCCATGGGAGACCAGGAAAAAGCACCTGGCTCCTGCCATCGGATCAGCGCGGTGCGCCGGCCGCAGCGCGCCGGCCGCGGCGGCCATTGGAGGGTGAACCAACGGCAAAGGAAGACCTTTCTGTCTGTCTCTCTCTCTCACTATCCACTCTGCCTGTCCGAAAAAAAAAAAAAAAAAAAAAGATTAACTGTATTTAACTTTTTAGTACTATTTTATGAACTATTTCCAAAAGCATTTTTTTTTTTTTAAATTTATTTGGAGGGCAAAGTTACAGAGGCAGGCAGGCAGAGAAAGAGAGGTCTTCCATCCACTGGTTCCACTTCCTACATGGCTGCAATGGCCAGAGGTGGGCCAATCCAAAGCCAAGAGCCTGAAGTTTCTTCCAGTTTTCCCATGTAGGTGTAGGGGCCTAAGCGCTTGGGCCATCTTCCACTGCTTTCCCAATCAATAGCAGAGAGCTGGATCAGAAGTGAAACAGCTGAGACTCAAAAGTGGCGCCCATATGGGATGCCAGTTCTGCAAGTGACAGCTTTACCCACTATACACATAGCCAGCCCATAAAAGCTATTTTTCACATGATTTGTGATTAAAATGGAATTTCCCAAAGAAACAAAGTCAAATAGTTTTAAGACAAAATGACCAGGTACAAAAACCCATTTGACATTTATTTTATATCACAAGTCATGTTATTTAGAGGCTGTGTCCTGAATCCCTCTGAACCTTGAAGAAAAAGGATAGGGAACCTTGAAGGAACTAAAGACAGGTTGTGGAAGATGAAGAGACTTCAGCATTTGGGAAGCTCCACAACAAAGAGTTGGGTGGAAATTTCAGATGCTCCCCCAGCAAAGCAGCAGCTCTTTGAGAATGGTAGTGTGGGGCAATTGTAGTTCTCATATAAGGTTTTTCACAAATTAATCAGCCATATTCTAGTACTTATGAGTCAGGCTAAAAAAAAAGTCACTAAACCAATATCTTCATATTCACAGTTCACTCCAGATAGTTTTTTTTTTTTAACATAATCCTATATATTTTTTGTTACTGGACTTTAACCAATTTTATATAGTATGTCATTATATATAAGTATATATTGTATTCTCTATTTTGGGAAACGAAGACTTAACATATATTTCTGTTTATGGACAATGAACCAAAAGTAGAAACCTACTTCCATCTTGAGAGATGGGAGCAGAAGCTTCTGACAAAATTGCTGGGTTGGCAGGGTTTGCAGAAAAAGCAGTCTGAGCCTGTAAAACAAAAGAAAGTCCAAAAATATGCTGTTAAATACTTAATGTTCCTATATAAGTTAAACCTAGTACAACCAAAAAGAACTGAAGCACTGAAGTATCAGTCAAGAAAGTTCAATTTCAAACTGATCAGCAATACATTTTTATAGGGTAATCTGCAAAGCAAACATTATTGGGAATAGGTGTTTGGCCTCGTGGTTTAAACAATGGCATCCCACATCAGAGTGCCTAGGTTCATTCAATTTCTGAATCTGGCTCCTGACTCTGGTTTCCCACCAATGAAGACCCTGGTTCACACAGCTGGGTTCCTGCCACAACTATGCTGACTCCAGCCCTTGGAAGCATTTGGGGATTGAATCAGCAATGGGAGCTCTCTATCTCTTTGGCTGGCTGGCTCACTGTCCCTTTCTCTACTTTCAAATAAAAATCAATACAAATTAATAAAAATATATACCACATTCCCAGTAACAAAAACATTTTTTGATTTCTATAAGTAGGTTTGGCATAGTATGAATTTTCCACATATTATGAAAAATATTTTTCACATCAAAATGAACTTACACTTTTAATTCCATTTTCCCCAAACTTTTTGAAGTATCCATTTCAGCAGGTTTTAGGAGTCATGTTATACTAAGTACAAAAATATTACAAACTATACAAGCAGTGCATTTTACCACTCACATAAAAGGATGATGATAAAGTAACTTGTAACTGAAAAACCTGCTGAAATTTCTCTGAAAAAGTATGTATTTTTCATGTTCAGTTGTCCTCTCAGCGCTACCTTCATGGCCTCCTCGTATTAAGTATCTCACTAATGGGAATACTTTGAAATAGCTAGGTATCATTTAAAATCAAGTTTGGTAATAAGTTGTACCACCATTCTCAACTTTTTATTTAGTTGGAAATGTATCAACTAAGAAAAGAGGTATATGCTTATATTTCAATCTAGCTCTGAAATCAATGTCAAAAGCAGTCCCCAGAACTACTTAGGGAAATGGAAGCTTACTTTAAATAAGTACAGCCCACTAAAGTTTTAGATAGTTTGATAACTATTAAATTCATCTGAACTGTGACTGTTCTAATATACCTATTAAAGAATACAATTTATTAAATATTCTAAGATGAAACAAAATACATCATGAGAATATAAGTAAAATACAAATAACAACCTCCCAATTCTAAATGTGCTGAATTTTGAAAGCTACTTCACCACCAGCTATCAGCTAAAAGGAGTTAGTGGTCAGCTGGATTATTCCTTGAATAATCCAAGAAAAATAATTCTGGGAGCTAGCACTGTAACGTAATAGTTAAGCCTCTGCCTGCGGTGCTGGCATCCCATATGGGAGCCGGTTTAAGTCTCAGCTGTTCCACTTCTAATTGTAGTGGTCAGGGATAGCAGTGGAAGATGGCCCAAGTGCATGGGCCCCTGCACCTACTTAGGAGACCCAGAAGAAGCTCCAGGCTCCTGGCTTCGGATTAGCCCAGCTCTGGCCATTATAAGCGTTTGGGGAGTGAACCAGTGGATAGAAGACCTTTCTGTCTGTCTCTCCCTCTGTCTGTAACTCTGCCTCTCAAATAAATCTTTTTAAAAGAAAAAAGACAAAATTCTGTTCAGGACTAAAAGCAAACTATCAAAAGACACGGAGGAAACTTAAGTGCATATTACTAAGAGAAAGAAGCTAATGTGAAGAGGCTATACATATTGTATGACATTCCGGGAAAGATAAAATTGTAGAGATGGTTCAAAGATTGGTGGCTGCCAGGGGTTGAGAGGAGGGATGAATAGGCAGAACACAGAAGAATTTTAGAGAATGGGACTTTCCTGTAGATACTACATTGGTATATACATGTCTTTATGCATTCGTCTAAAGCCATGGAATACATGACACCAAGAGTGAACCTTAATGTAAAGTATGGACTTGGGGTAATAATTACACATGAAAGTTCATCAGATGTTAACAAATGTCCCACTCTGATGAGTATGCTGGCAATGGGGGAGGCTTTGAGTGTGTGGAAATAAGAGAGTATACTGCACTTTCTGCTCAATTTGGCTGTGAATCTCAGAATGCTTTAAAACACAGCTTGTTAATTTAAAATAATACAACTCTTTTTTACAGGAGTTATTGTTACAGAGAGACAGGCAGATCCTCCAACCACTGGTTCCCTCTTGATTGGCCACAACTGCCAGTGCAGGGTCAGGCCTAACCCAGGAGCCTAGAACTCCATCTGGCAGGGGCCCAAGAACATGAACTATGTTCCACTGCCTTTCCAGGCACACCAATTGGAAGCTGGATCAGAAGTGGAACAGCAAAGACTGAACCAGCACCCACATGGGATGCCCATGTCACAGGCAGTGGTAAAACCTGCTATGCCACAATGCAAGCCCTATTTTTATTCTTTCACTGCTATTGTTCTTACCTAAGGAATTCTGACAAGTATATAAAGCTCCCTGGAAATTTATTAAAATTTCATCATGTAACTTGTGAAAATAAAAGAAAGATGTAGCAACAGGGGCTTACCACTATAAATCATTAAATGCCAAAAATTTTAAATAATTTATTTTATCAGAAAACTTGAAAAAAGGAGAGAGTTGTCCCAAGGAACAGGCAGTGACTGCGAGAGCCTGTGTTTCTGTCACTTACAGAAAGTATGAGTAAAAGCCACAACTGTGAAGTCACTTCTGTCAAATTCTACTTACCACAGTAGGAAACTGATAAGCACTAGTTCTCTATTTCATTGTTTCTTAAAGCTTATTTTGCATAGGTAGAAGAACCACAGGCTCCTACTAGAATTTGGAATGAATGGGAAGGTTCAGACATGACATGCTAAAAGTCATGCCCAATGGCTCTTATAGTTACAAACTGCCAGTTCACTGCTGCAATTTAGCTTTGCTATGGTGTAAAATGAATAATACTTGCTTCCTCCATAATATCTTTTCAGAGGCATAACAAAAAAAAAGTATCATCCACTTTAGAAAACAAAGCCAAAAAATAGACTATTTTATTGTCTAAAATATGAATATTTTAAAATCCAGTGGAAATAAAGAACTATGTTCCCCACCCTATCTCCCTACCTCCTTACTCACCACCGTATCTCCTAACAGCTATTCTTCTGCTCTGAACATAAAAGACACTCTTAATAGAAATATCCATGTAATCTGCTTCTCCTTAAAGAAGTCAGCATGACTGACACTGCAGCCCTCTTTATTTCCAATCCAACACGTCAGTATCAACTTTTTCTACTTTCAAAATTCAAAGCTATGGTTAATTTAATTTCAATCCTATGGAAAGCTAGCAAAAAAGGAAAACAAAGGATAGATTATCCTTGCTTTTGTTACTGTCTGCAAATTCTTATCAGATAATGTACTGATGTTTTACTAATGGCTTAATGGTTATTCTAGAAAGCAAAACGTTTCAGATAAAAGCTTTTTAAAAAGAAAGCACTTGTTCAGATGAACTTTGGAGAAATACAAAACCACATTAAAAAGATACTGACAAACTATAAGTACTTAAAAGAAAGGAGGAACTGAACATTTAAGATGAATGAACAGACCACTTAAAACATCAAGGCAAAGCCTTGGTGACTGAACTAGATTCCAAAGAGTTTATGAACCACATTTTAATATTCATACTGGATCTACAATAGAAAATAACTGTTCATGATTCCCTTCACAAAACAATTTTCTCATCCACAGCTACAAGGTTAACCATCATAGCAACGTGTTACCATTCTCCTTGTTTGTTTTTCCTTTCACTCCAGTGAAGCCACACTTTTCCTAAAACATTGTCAGTTTGGTTACAAACTCTCACACATTTGTAATACACTTTTAACTCATTAATGAATTAAGAAATACATCTCACTTTACAGTAAACTGAAGTCAGAGCCTCAAGAAAAATGACCTTCATAATAAGGAGTTCTGAAATATTATAAAAACTCAAAAGGAAATTTTCTCATTTATCACACTAAAAAGATTTTAGGAATAATGGAGTTTGGTTTATCCTTTCAATTTAAAAGAATGAACAAAGCTGAAGAGATTCTGAGTTTGCAAGAGATCAAATTAAAAGCAAACTGTGAACAGAAGGGTTCATTACTCAGTTCAGTTTAATACCATATGCTAAAAATTTGCAAAATAGTAAGAATTGATTTCCACCCCCCACTTTTCTTCTTAAGCAAAAGCATCTATCCTCAGAGCTAACAACTACACAAGGGACTATGTAATACAACAGCACTGGAAATACTGTAACCTCTAATATAGTCACTTAGAGAATCAACAAGGGAAATCTCTGCTGCTTTTGTCCAACAGGAAACAAATCAGACTTTCTTGTGCTGTTATACTATTACTCTTCTAAAAGCAGCATAGTCTCTCCTACTGGCAATCTCAATATGGATGTGGAGAATTAAAGATTAGTCACACCTAAAGATTCAGAAGATAAAGGTACCAATTTTATACCAATTTATGAATATCTACTTAAATATATGTAGTTTTTTTAGTAAGAAAGAAGAAATTATCAATTCCCAACTTGACTCTCACTGGGATTAAACATGACAATAGGTCTGATCTGATTTCATCATCATTTAAAAAATCATCTATTATTTTTCACTTTATGTTTCTGTGTGGGAGCAAACTGTTGAAATCTTTTCTTAATGTATGCTAAACTGATCTTCTGTATATAAAGAGAATCGAAAATGAATCTTGATGTGATTGGAAGGGGAGAGGGAGTGGGAAAGGGGAGGGTTGCGGGTGGGAGGCACATTATGGGGGGGAAGCCATTGTAATCCATAAGCCGTACATTGGAAATTTATATTCATTAAATAACAGTGAAAAAAAAAAGAAAAAAAAAAGAAAATCAAGCTACCTTTGAAGAATTTAAGTGAAATTTTAAAGAAATAATATCCTATGCCTATTAGTTTGCTGTGAAATGACAAAGAAATGTCTAGCTTTTCTGTAACATTTTAGCCTACAATATAAGCGAACAAAAGGTTTATGAAGTATAAAAATGAACAAATACATCTGCTAGTTAAGTTTACTGCTTTACTTCTCCTTTAAGTAGAATGTATGCTATAATATATTCCTAAAAAAAAAAAAAAAAAAAAAAAAAAAAGGCATACCTGAATTACTTTGTCTACCTTCAAGTCTTCAAGAGATGGATAGAGAGACATTTTTCCTGAATTATCTGGGGGGAAAAAAGCATATAATCAAATGTCATAGAAATTTAAATAGTATGCATAAACAAGAAACAACTTTTAACACAACAAGAAACATTTAAACTACAAAACATTTGAAAAAGAAAAAGGAACATCTAGGACTGACTGGGATTTCAGGGTTACCACACTACTTCTGGTAGAGGGTCTGGTGCTGTGGTGTAGCAGGTAAAGCTGCCGCTGGTAGTACCAGAATCCCATGTGGGCACCAGTTCAAGTCCTGGCTGCTCCACCTCAGATCCAGCTCTCTGCTATGGCCTGGGAAAGCAGAAGATAGGCCCCTGCACCTGCATGGGAGACCTGGAAGAAGTTCCTGGCTCCTGGCTTCGGATCAGCACAGCTCTGGCCATTGTGGCAAAATGGGGAGTGAACCAGAGGATAGAAGACTCCTCTCCTTCCTGCCCACCCATCCTTCCTCCCTCCCTCTCTCTGCCTCTCCTTCTCTCTGTGTAACTCTGACTTTCAAATAAATAAACCTTAAAAATGTGTGCATATAAGAGTCTTAAAAATAATTCACAGAAAAGGCATATTCTGGTGGTGGGGGGAGGAAGTCTGGTAGAATTTAGAATTCAGTAGTGACACTTATCCAGCCCTCTTTTTTGTTGGGAGGGTCTTTATTACTGACTCAATCTCCATCTTGGTTATTAGTCTGTTTTGGGGTCCTATGTATTCATGACTCAGTGTTGATAGATTGTGTGTGTCCACGAATTTATCCATTTCTTCCAGATTTTCCAATTTATTGGCATGTTGCTCTTTGTAGTAATTCCTGATGATTTTATATTTCTGTGGTATCCACTGGTATATCTCATTTTTTATCTCTGATTTTATTGATTTAGATTTCTTTGATTAGTTGGACCAACTGGGTAACAATTTTGCTTATGATTTTTGGTTTCAATTTTGCTTATTCTCTAATTTTAATTCTTTTCTCCTAGTAATTTTGAGTTTGGTTTGTTTTTCTAGGTCCTTGAGATGCATTGTTAGATCATTTACTTGATGTCTTTCCGATTTCTTGATGTAAGCACTAACTGCTATGAAGTTTTCTCTTAACACTGCTTTTGCTGTGTTCCATAAGTTTTGATATTTGGCATTGTTATCTTCATTTTTTTCTAAGCATTTTTTTCTTTCCCTTTTGATTTCTTCTATGACTCACTGTTCATTCAGGAGCATAGTGTTCAGTTTACATGTGCTTGTATATCTTCTAGAGATTCTTAAGTTGTTAATTTTTAGCTTCATTCCATTGTGGTCAGAAAAAAATACATGATATTACTTCAATTTTATTGAATTTGCTGAGCCTTGCTTTATGGCCTAGCATATGGTCTATCCTAGACAAAGTTCCATGCACTGATGAAACGCACATGTATTCTTCAGCTGAGGGATGCAAGTTACCTAAATAGGTCTTCAGATTTTTTCACTGACTTATCTTTTAAAGCTCTCACATCCTTTGTTATTTATACTTTTTGATGAAGGTTTTATTTTTTCCTAGGTTTTTCCCTCCTAGCACATAGAATCAATTTTATACACTGACCTTATACCACAGCCTTGCTGAAGTCATTACTACTTCAGGTTTTGTCTTTGTGGATTCATTAGCTCTATTTAGTAGTGTCAAGTAAGCAATGGCAACTTTTCCTTTGCCATTTGGATGTCTTTTAAATTTTTTAAAATGCAATGGTAAAATATACATAATATGAAATCCACCCTTAACAAATTTTCAAGTGTACAATACAGTACTGATAATCTTAAGCATACTGTGTAGAGCAGATTTCTAGAATGTTTTCATCTTGCATAACTGCAATTCTACATAAACTGAACAATTCTCCATTTCCCTGCCCTAAGTCCTAGTAATTACCATACTGCTTTTTCTTTCAATTAATCTACTACTTTAGATACCTGAAGTGGAATCATCCAGCACTTGTCCTTTTGTGACACACTTATGTCATTTAGTTGATATTCCCAAAGTTCATCCTTATTATATAAAGACTCATTCTTTTTCAAGGCTAACATTCCATTGTATGCATGTACACATGTATAGTATACACACACACATACACACTCATGTTATCACATTTTATCTATTCATCCACAGATGGATATAGATTGTTTTTAACCTCTTGGCTAGGTTATTGAAGCTGCAATGAACACAGGAGTGCTAGTACAAATAGCAAGACTTTGGAGTCTTGTTTAAAGTCTTCTGAATAAATCCTACTTGATCATAGTGAAGGATCCTTTCAATGAGCTGTTGAATTTGGCTAGCTATCACTGTACTGAAGATGTTTGCATCCATGATCATATAGGGCAACTGGCCTCTAGTTTTTCTCATGTTGTCTTTGGTATCAAGGTATGTTGGCCTTACGAGTTTTAGAAGTATCTCTTCATTTTCAGTTTTTTGCAAGAGTTTAAGAAGGACCAGTATCACTTTTTTAAAGGTTTGGTACATTTCTCTATTGAAGCCATTGGTGTAGGCTTTTCTGTGTTGAGAGGACTTTTAATATAATGTTCTTATTATAGGTTCATTCTGATTTTGTACTTCTTCATAATTCAATCTTGGCAGACTCTATGTTTCTTGGAATTTATCCACTTCTAGGTTTGTTTTTCTTTTGTAGTTACTTGAGGAGTAAGCTAGGTTATGAGATCTTTTTTTTTTCTTTTAATGGAGGTATAAATAGCCCTCCTGGAACTGCTTTTGCTGCATTTCCTAAGTTGTGGTATATAATCTGTTTCTGCTTAGCCGAAACTTTTTTCTAATTCCCCACTTATGTATTCCTTGACCCCCAAAATACTTGAGTGTGTTAATTATCACATATTTGAGAATTTTGCATTTTCTACTACTATAAGATTTCTAATTTCATTTTCTTATGATCAGAAAAGATATTTGGTATGAATTCAACAGTGTTAAATCTGTTATTACTTGTTTTGTCACCTGTATTCCAAAAAATCTTTCATGTGCATTTAAGAAATAAAAGCATATTCTGTGTAGCGTGGAATGTTCTATCTATATATGTCTTTAGATCCATTTGGTTGACAGTATTGTTCAAGTCTTCTCTTAGCTTGCTCATTATCTGCTGGATGTTTTTACCCATTACTGAAAATGTGATATTGAAATTTCCTACAATTGTGGTGCTCTTTCTCCCATAGGTTTTGTCAATATCTGTGACCTTAGTACATATAATAATCCTTTCTTCTTGTGAATTGACTCTTATCATTATATAATATCTTTCTTTGTCTTGTGACAGTTTTGACTTAACATTCCTATTCTCTCTGGTTACCACTTTCTGGAATATTAAATAATATTTTGCTGGCAGTTTGTTTTTAACATTTGGAGTATATTACTTCTCTTCTTTTTGGCCTGCAAAGTTTCTGCTGAGAAATCTGCTTATTGTGTTATGAATGTGCCCTCGTACAGGATGAGCCACTCTTCTCTTACAGTTTTCAAAATGCTCTTTTAGATTTGACCTTTTGATGACAGTGTGTCTCAGTGTGTGTGGATGACTTTGGATTGCTCCTATTGAGAGTTAATTGGGATTCTTGATTCCAGATATTGGGAAGTTTTAGGCTTTTCAAATAAGTTTTCTGCCCTTTTCTTTTTCCTCCTTCTGGAACTTCCATAATAGGTATACTGGTCCATTATACTGGTCCATGTTACTCCATTACTGTCCGCAACTGTCTTAACAGTATTCTTTTTGGTTCTATGACTGCATAATTTCAGTCATCTGTTTGACTGCCAATTATTTCTTCTGCTGAACAAGCATCTTGTTGAACTCCTCTAGTAAATCTTTTAGTCATTGCACTCTTCATCTCCAAAATTTCAGGTTCTTTTAAAAATTTTTTCCATCTTTTTGTTATTTTATTCATGAATTATTTTCCTAACCTAACTGCACATGTTTATAGTGGCTGGAAATCTTTGTGGATGAACTCAAATACCTGTTTCTTTAGGGATGATTCCTGGAAATTTTGCCAGGAAGCATAGGGCAGGTGGCCTAAAGGCCATGCGCCGTGGAGGCGCAGGGCAGTACAGTCCGCAATAGCAAAAGGCCAAAGAAAAGGGCTGGGCCCACCATGTCCCAGGCCTTTAATCCACTTCCAAAGGGGAGTTCTCATCATTCTTAAACGCAAAGCATTCCTTGAGGATTTTACTTACCTGGTTTCATTTCATTTCATCCAATGTGTTTCCAAGCATTAAAACATTTTTGCTACAACCTACAGGGAATGTGCTCCTGTGCCCCCTCATCTATGCAAAAGGTGCTTTGTCTGCCTGGAATGACCTTCACCATTCTCTATTTATCAAAATCCTAGTCAGCCTTGAGGCCTAACTCAAGAGCTGTTTCTTATGTCTGAAGAAATCTCCTCAATTTAGCAGTTTCACTGTGCCTTACATTGTAGCTAGATTAGGTTACTAACATTTAGGAGCAGAGATTTGCTCTTGACACCAGCTTCCTGCTAATATTCACCATGGAAGGAAGCAGGTGTTAGCTTAAGTAATTGGGTCTGCATTACCTATCTGGGAAACTCAAACTGAATTCCCAACTCCCAGTTTTGGTCTGACTTGGTCCAGACACTGCCTGTAGCAGGCATTTGGAGAGTGACCCACTGAAAGAAATCTTTCAAATAAGTCACTTTTTAAATATTTATTTATTTATTTGAGAGGCAGAGTTACAGAGAGAGGGAGAGACAGAGAGAGAGGTCTTCCATCTACTGGTTCACTCCCTAGATGGCCACTATGGCCAGAGCTGGGCCAATCTGAAGCCAGGAGCCAGGAACTTCCTCCAGGTCTCCAACGTGGGTGCAAGGGCCCAAGCACGTGGGCCATCTTCTATTGTTTTCCAAGGAGATCAGCAGGGAGCTGGATTGGAAGTGGAGCTGAGATTCAAGCTGAGACTTGAATCAGCCCGCAGATGGGATGCCAGTGCCACAGCACCAGCCCCAATAAATCAACTTTTAAATAATTTTTTAAAATATAGTGGCAAGATTCAAAAAC